ACATGATTTTTTAATAACAATTAAACATCAAAACGTCAGACTGAAATCTCACCACTTCTTTCAAATAAACTAAAGTCTTCCAAAAGTCTGCATTCTCAAGCCCAGGAGCGAGAAGAGACTGATAATTCCCACAGTATTTCTGAAATGTCCTTCCTCCACTCCTCCAAAAGCATGACTTTGTTCACGAGGGCACAGACGTCTTATGACAAGAACAGGAACTATGAGGAGATGTGAGATTTTTTTTGAAATTTGAATTCTAAGATAAACAGATGTCATTATTTTCTATTATTCTATTCTATTGGTTCGATCCAGAACTATTGGCTCCACCAACTCGTCAGGATTCGATCCAAAATGCCACATGGAAAACAACAACAACAACAAGGAAACGTGCAGAAAGACCAGCCAGGATTAGTTGTTCTTCATCGGTGAGTAGCAATACCCATTGTTTTATCCTGTTATCCATTCAGTAACTCAAATAGCTTCCTGGACCAGCCAAACTCATCTTTTCTAATTCAAATGATATGTTGACCTACAAATACCATCACTGCTCTGTGAAGAAACCTTGTGAACTGCTTTGAGATGTTCTCAATGTTAAAGGTACCACATCAAATGTAAAGATTATTATTATTTACTGTGTAACTGGGAAGCCAATACATTAGAAAAGTGAAAACTTCAGGTCAAAGCAGCAATTGTTGAAATTTGAAGATTCCTCTCTGTGTTGTGAGAATATTCCTTAGTACTTTACATCTAAGTTGTTAACAGAAAGATGCTACTTGGGTTTCCAAGTAATAAGAATGCAGACAGGACACCCAATTTCCTCTATTCCTCTTTTTAAGGTATTGATGCATGCCCAGGTGTGATTCCACAAGCATCATTTAGTCTCTAATACTTCAACTAAGTTGCCACTCTTATGAATCCACACAACAAATACTGACAGGATATGCAACCATTGGGGAAGACTGACTTGATCCATCCCAACCTCCAATCCTAACTTACAATCAATAATTAAGATTTATCAGTAGCACTGACTCAGAAACTATGGAAATGAAAGCTATGCCACAAAAATGATCATATTCACTCAAAAAAACTTAGCAATTTCTATATTAGTAACCCACTACAGTAATAACCCATCTACGTGGAGTCCTGTCGCTCAGTGGTAAGAGCACTCATCTCGCAAACAAGAGATCTGGGTTTGATTCCCGGAAGGGCGAAATGTTTGTCTAGCAGTGAATAGGAAGCCAGTTGTTAGTTGAATGGCAGATCGCTTTTCCGGGAGTAATAATCCCTCAAAAAAATAATAATTTGGTCACTCAATCCACGACCGTTTGTGGGATGCTGCTGTGCGCATTTGGCTGCCCACAAATTTACAGTCAATTCACTTTATAGTAAATTCTGTGAAGCGCTTTGAGACATGTAGAAAACATGATAAGGCACAATATCAAATGAAAAGATTATTATTGTTATTATCTATGGTTAATTAGTTATGTTGCTTGTGCTGCTTTGCATAAGAGGAATACCATCCTCAGAATAATACTGGTACAAGCAGATTATGTGGGAGGTGGAAACTGTAGAGTTAAAAGCTATATAAAAAACATGACTGTCACATTTAAAGCTTGAGTGTTGACACGTGTTTTTATTAGGTAAATACTTAATTCAATTAGTTTCACAATACTGTTGTAGAATGGGTGTTATTGGTGTGATGAACACTTGACAGTTGACTTATTGCAAAGCTTCTGATGCGGGTTTGAAGCCTTCCAGGTAAGGGAGAGACAGAAGGCTGTTTAAGCAACCCCCTTCTCAATTAAATTCCATTGTATTCAATTTCAAGCTGTGTACACTCCATCCCTGGTCTTTTTTGTAACACTTCCTGGATTTTTGCTGACTAGTTGTGATCTTGTCTTTTTTTGGGTGTTAAATGGTGTTTGAGTGTTACATTATTGGGGTCTTATGTTAATGTGTAAAATGTTTATCTCTATGTTTCTTTGTTTCATCTCCATTTTAAGGGATTATTAATAATCCTTGCATTATTGGCAGCCAGTCAAAGTCAGTCTGTGATTAAAGGAAAATTCTCTTAAGAAGAGAAAAAATTGCCAACGGACCATCTGGCACAACGACGCACATTGATACAAATTATTCTTTCACTAAATGAGATTATCAAGTTCTTTCAAACATATTTTCCATGAAGGCAATCTTCTTTAAAGGAATTTTTTTTAATAATGGTATTAAGTGTACTGTAACTACAGAGACAAAGCCTTTAGCTGCACAAACAGCATTGCTCTTCATCAAGCTGTTTGTTTTACTTCTTCAGTGCAGAATCAAGTCATAGGTGGGACTAGACATTTATCTGGTAAATTGGTCCTTATCAAATAATTCAAACAAAAGTCTATATTTAACACAGAAATCAATTATAGTAATTCAATTAGTTTTGTGAGTTTATATTCCTTGAGCCCACATGAAAGCAAAACATACCAAATGCTAATTATTTTCATTGTCTGCCTGTGGTTGTGAACCAGCCAATATTATGCTTCCACAGTTAGAAATTGTTCCAATCATCTCATGGTGGAAGAATTTGAGATCCACGCACCCCCACATGGTTAACCCTGACATGTTTAGCAACCCTCACATCCTGATACTGTGCTTCCAAGACAAGTTACTTGTTCAAGAAGTCATTCTTTTATGTCTGAGACCAGGCACACAAAGTATATACGCACTGGGTAAAACAGACTAGAACCATTCACTTTGCCCCAGCTTTCACTGGATATTAATCATGAGGAGTGACCCTGGCCCTAGTGTTGCTGTGGACAATTGTAATTTTCTCCTCTGCCTGACTGTAGTCAGCTAAACCCAGCACAAGTCAGGGATTGAACTGGTCATTTTTGCCCCAACAAGGTTCAGGTTCAAACCAGAAACCAATTTACCCACTGGACCATCAGCAAGCTCAATTGTTTAGATTTCTCACTGCATGCTAATTCATTCTTTTGGCTGTAAACCGAGTAAGCATGAATATACTTGCAATATTAATGCTGCTTCCTATAGTCTAACTCTCTTACAACAATTCGCATGTACACAACACCCTTCAAGTGGAGTAGCCTCTCAGAGAACTTAATAGGGGCGGAGGTTGATTTTGAGCCAGGGAGGGGGGAGGCCACCGAAACAATGGTCGAAGATCTGAAAATGGGAAAGGAAGGGGCAAGGCAGACTCATTGAGGGAGAGACCTCCAAAGTTTTGTGGCTCTCTTACAAACGCACCCTCTTATACTATCTCATTCACACTCACATCACTTCACAGCCTTTTGGCTAAGATCAAGTGTAGTTTCTGTTCACATCAGTTACTGCTTAAACTAAAGCAAAGATGGGAAAGTTCTCCTGTTGAGATTGCCTTGTGTTGGTCACCATAACCCAATCTCACCCAGAACTGGATCATTATAAGAAGGATTGAGCTGTGCCGCCCGCCCTCTGTTGGTTGGGGGACGGTATTGCAGCACTTCCCACGTGAAGAGTGAGATCTGCCCTCACACACACAGAGACAGACACACACACAGACAGACAGACACACAGACAGACAGACATAGCCTCACACATACACACACACACACACACACAGACAGACACACACACAGACAGAGACACACAGAGACAGACACACAGACAGACAGATACACACACACACAGACAGACAGACAGACAGACACAGACATGGCCTCACACACACACACAGACAGAGACACAGACACACAGAGACAGACACACACACGGCAGACAGACACGGCCTCACACACACACACAGACAGAGACACACAGAGACAGACACACACACAGACAGAGACACACAGATACACACACACAGACAGAGACAGACACGGCCTCACACACACACACACACTGAGATCTGCCTTCACTCGGAGGAAGCGGAGACACTGGCATTAGTTGAGCCCCTGGTCACTCGGCTCAGGCTCGGCTCGCGCTGCCAGAGGCCATCCCATCACCTGACCTGCGCAGGAAGTAGTGAAGACATGGTTCAGGTCTGCATTCAATCTAATTAGGTTAATGGGTGTGAGGAGCCCTAATCTCACTCACACTCCAGCTCAGTCTCTCTCTCACACACACGCCCTCTATCCTGACGTGAAACTCGCTGTATGAATGCAATTTGTTGTTGATTGTCAATTCTCTCTCACACTACAGCACAGCCACAATGAGGATCAGCCTGAAGGTGTTCCTCTCACTGTGACAGAGAATGTTTTGGAAATGGAATTTTTGATAAAAATAAAATGTCTAAATATTCACTGCGACTGTATGTGGGTGAGTGGAGGGGGGGTGGGAGTGTGTGTGTGGGCTGTGTTTGATGGGGGGGGGAGACTGTTTGTGTGGGGGAGGGGCAGGAGAGGTTGTGTCCAGGCTAAGGTTGGTGTCCACCACGGCCCCCAAGGTATGAATCAACAATTGGGAACTGCAGCCTACAGTATCTTCCAATCAATTCCCTTATTGTCTTTGCTTGGGCTGTGCAGAACCACGATTTTGCACTTTATATTGGATATGTTCCTGCTAGAGAGGAGACACCATCAGTCATTTGCAAAGCATCATAACTGTGTTAAAGCTGTCCAATAATTGCCCGGAGAAGCCGAGTAAGGCCAAACATAGATTGACATTGAAAGTTTATCTTCAAACTGGGACTATGAGCAGAAAGACTGGTAAAAAGTGAAGGTTTAGATTTTTGTTAGAGGCTAATAGCAACCTACACTTTATTTACGGCTCAGTTGTCATATCTCACACAGTGTCCTCTGAACCACAGTATTCTTCTAATAAAAGCTTGTTGTTCAGCTTTGTGAAGAACTTTGTGTTTTAGATTAAATAAGTTTTCCAAAGTTCAAGAGATTGTAAAAGGCAATTTATTGATACAGCACTTAAATAACATATTCCATTTCCTTGACTGTACAATCTACAGAAGTGAAAAACCAAAATATAAAAAGGTGAAGTGAAAATAACAGTAGAGAGCTCCATTGAGGAGTGAGCACTAGCACAGACACGATGGGGAGAGAGCAGGGAATGGGGTTAGGGTAGAGAGCTCTAGCGAGGAGCGAACTCCGGCACAGATATGATGGGGAAATTCATAGACAGACAACAAACAATTCCACTTACTCACAGACACAGGACATATAAACATGAGCAGCAATTTCACAAGCACAGGTACACGTGTATTAAGTCACTTGCACAGAGTACTTGATCAGTGTTAAGTTTGTGGCATTGAAATTAGTGTGAGGACACAAATATATTTCATCTTAACAATACAGGAATGAATTGATAAGAAATTTGAAATCCATATTAGATGTCATTAAATAAAACAACTCATTGGAAACGTGCAGCCACAGAGGATGTGTGATGAACCCGTAAATGTTACCGCTAAACATCCCCTCTCACTGGGGCAGCCCAATTTTGGCTTTAAGCATTCTTGTGACGTAGCTGTACCACAGATATGCTCACAAGTAGCTGAGCTCAGACATGCTTTACCATTCACTCCAATTAACAGGCTCGATTCTAACACATCAGCAGCAATGAAAGTGAGGAATTATTTCAGGAATAAAATTAAACATATGCAACTTTATGAAACAAAACATTTACAGACATTAAACCATTGTGACGCACTTTGTGAGTCACCTCCAATTATATCACAATCACTAAATGTTGTGCCGTTGAACATTGCTGGAGCCAGGCCTGATGAACAGGAACAGCTTCCCCTGACGAGCAGAGTTTACAGCACAGGCAGAGAACAGCTTGCACGCATACAGCATCCTCTACACAGGGAAGCGTCTCATTGGCAGAGAAGTTAAGCTTCAACAACAACTTGCACTTAAATAGCACCATTCACACAGGGCAGCGCCTGGGAGCGCTTCCAGTGAAATCTCACATATTGAGAACAGTTGGTGTGTAATTAAGAAAGTTGATCATTTTAAATGTTGATCTTAGGATAAAGGCATCATAGGAATGGGATCTGATACCATGTGGTGAAGCCTCTTGCAGTCTCTCCTTTTGCTGCTATTCCCAGGTCACTGTGGCTGTGCTACTTGTCTTCAGTCCAGGCTCTGTCAGGGTCATTTCCCAACAAAGTGAGCCTAAAATCAGCATATGGTGGGTCGGGGGGGGGCAATGCCAGGACAATGCAATCGTCCATCATTCCTCACACAGGCTACTGACTTGCGGCTGCTGCAGCCTTGGCTTTTCATGTTGTTTTGTGCAAATAACCAGCACTCTTGTCAAAACATCCCCATTGCCTGATCGCCTGTAAACTGAGCAGCCACATTGCGCACACACACCCCACCCAACACTGCAGTCCAGTCCAGACGTGTAAACTTTGTTATCTTCTCCGGGCCAGGAACACGGCGATAGCCAGACCGGCGCCCACAGCCACCAGAGTCATCAGCCAGGTCACGGTCTCCTGTATGTGGCGGCTCCGGGCAGCTGCATTATTGCCGTACAGGGCCACAAAAGCCTCCTGTGTAAACACAACAGCAAATGGTTACAGCATTGGAGCTGCTGTGCTGTCAGTGGCCATCTCCCGTGAAGCTCGGCCCCGGCCAGAGCTCGGCTCCGGTCACTCGGCCCCGGCCACTCGGCCCCGGCCAGAGCTCGGCTCCGGTCACTCGGCCCCGGCCAGAGCTCGGCTCCGGTCACTCGGCCCCGGCCAGAGCTCGGCTCCGGTCACTCGGCCCCGGCCAGAGCTCGGCTCCGGTCACTCGGCCCCGGCCAGAGCTCGGCTCCGGTCACTCGGCCCCGGCCAGAGCTCGGCTCCGGTCACTCGGCCCCGGCCAGAGCTCGGCTCCGGTCACTCGGCCCCGGCCAGAGCTCGGCTCCGGTCACTCGGCCCCGGCCAGAGCTCGGCTCCGGTCACTCGGCCCCGGCCAGAGATCGGCTCCGGTCACTCGGCCCGGCCAGAGCTCGGGTTCTTTCATTGGTTCTTGTGAATCTCCAGCCGTAAAACCAAACAAATGAACAAAACAGAAGCCAAGAAACTGCCCACTATAATCCCCCACACCGCCCGCCCGCTCCGGGAACCACCCCACCGCCCGCCCGCTCCGGGACCCACCCCACCGCCCGCCCGCTCCGGGAACTACCCCACCGCCCGCCCGCTCCGGGACCCACCCCACCGCCCGCCCGCTCCGGGAACCACCCCACCGCCCGCCCGCTCCGGGAACCACCCCACCGCCCGCCCGCTCCCGGAACCACCCCACCGCCCGCCCGCTCCCGGAACCCGGGGGAAAAACGGGTGGGGAGGGTAGACACTGGGGGGGGGAGGGCAGGACCCCCGGGGGGGGGGGGCAGGACCCCGGGGGGGGGCAGGACCCCGGGGGGTGGGGGGCAGGACCCCGGGGGGTGGGGGGCAGGACCCCGGGGGGTGGGGGGCAGGACCCCCGGGGGTGGGGGCAGGACCCCCGGGGGGGGGGCAGGACCCCGGGGGGTAGGGGCAGGACCCCGGGGGGGAGGGGGGCAGGACCCCGGGGGGGAGGGGGGCAGGACCCCCGGGGGGGTGGGGCAGGACCCCGGGGGGGGGGGGCAGGACCCCGGGGGGAGGGGGGCAGGACCCTGGGGGGGGCAGGACCCCGGGGGGGGGGGGGCAGGACCCGGGGGGGGGGGCAGGACCCCGGGGGGGGGTGGGGGCAGGACCCCCGGGGGGGGTGGGGGGCAGGACCCCCGGGGGGGGGTGGGGCAGGACCCCGGGGGGGGGCAGGACCCCCGGGGGGTGGGGGGCAGGACCCCCGGGGGGGGGGGCAGGACCCCCGGGGGGGGGGGGCAGGACCCCGGGGGGGGCAGGACCCCCGGGGGGGGGGCAGGACCCCGGGGGTGGGGGCAGGACCCCGGGGGGGGGGCAGGACCCCGGGGGGGGGGCAGGACCCCGGGGGGGGGGCAGGACCCCGGGGGGGGGGTGGGGGCAGGACCCCCGGGGGGGGGGGCAGGACCCCCGGGGGGGGGGGGCAGGACCCCCGGGGGGGGGGGCAGGACCCCCGGGGGGGGGGCACTAACCCAGCCGCCGTGCTGCAGGATCCAGGGCTGCAGATTGCTCTCCATGTAGATGATCATCCAGGACGCGATGCGCGGGACGAGCGGCGCCATCTCCTTGTCCAGACTCTCGGCGCTCAGAGCGCCGCCGAAGCAGAAAAAGGCGACGATGCGGCCCCAGTTGACGCCATCGCGGAACAGCTCTCCGACCACCTGCTCAAAGCGCTGGTACGCGGTGTCGGGGGTGACATGGAGTTGGGCCGCGAGGCCGCGGAAAGCCCTGCGGTACCTCAGCTCGAACTCCTCGGCCGCCTCCCGCAGCGCCACCCGGACCCGCTCCGCCTCCTCCTCCTCCTCCGGCCCCGCGCTACCCGGCCCCGCGGCCTGGGCCTGGGCCTCGCTCGGCGGCCAACAGTGCCCCCGCTGCCGGAGCTTATAGCCCAGGAAATCCTCCACCAGAGCCCGGCTGCTCAGCGCCATCCCCGCCTCACCCACTGCGCATGGCCCGGGGCTGTGTGTGTGTGTGTGTGTGTGGGACTGTGTGTGTGTGTAGGGCTGTGTGTGTGGGGTGTGTGTGTGTGTGTGTAGGGCTGTGGGGGGGTGGGGCTGTGTATGTGTGTGTGTAGGGCTGTGTATGTGTGTGTATAGGGCTGTGTATGTGTGTGTGTAGGGCTGTGTATGTGTGTGTATAGGGCTGTGTATGTGTGTGTGTAGGGCTGTGTATGTGTGTGTATAGGGCTGTGTATGTGTGTGTGTAGGGCTGTGTGTGTGTGTAGGGCTGTGTGTGTGGGGTGTGTGTGTGTGTGGGGGACTGTGTGTGTGTGTAGGGCTGTGTGTGGGGTGTGTGTGTGTGTGTATGGGACTGTGTGTGTGTGTAGGGCTGTGTGTGTGGGGTGTGTGTGTGTGTAGGGCTGTGGGGGGGGTGGGGCTGTGTGTGTGTGTAGGGCTGTGTGTGTGTGTGGGGGGCTGTGGGGGGGTGGGGCTGTGTATGTGTGTGTGTAGGGCTGTGTATGTGTGTGTATAGGGCTGTGTGTGTGTAGGGCTGTGTATGTATGTGTGTATAGGGCTGTGTGTTTGTGTGTAGGGCTGTGTATGTGTGTGTATAGGGCTGTGTGTGTGTGTGTAGGGCTGTGTATGTGTGTGTATAGGGCTGTGTGTGTGTGTAGGGCTGTGTATGTATGTGTGTATAGGACTATGTGTGTGTGTGTGTGTGGGGCTGTGTGTGTGTGTGTGTAGGGCTGTGTATGTGTGTATAGGGCTGTGTGTGTGTAGGGCTGTGTGTGTGTGTGTATAGGGCTGTGTGTGTGTGTAGGGCTGTGTATGTATGTGTGTATAGGACTATGTGTGTGTGTGTGTGGGGCTGTGTATGTGTGTATAGGGCTGTGTGTGTGTAGGGCTGTGTGTGTGTGTGTATAGGGCTGTGTGTGTGTGTAGGGCTGTGTATGTATGTGTGTATAGGACTATGTGTGTGTGTGTGTGTAGGGCTGTGCGCATGAGTAGGGCTGTGTGTGTGTGAACAGAGCTGTGTGTGGCACCCAAGCTCCTCTCCACAGGCTACAGATCATCCTCTGTAGCCCGTGTCCTCTCCCGCACCAGACTCCGTGACCCTATCCTGACTCAACCCCACCGGCTTCCCATCACACAGAGGATATAGTTCAAGATCCTGGACCTCCCTTTAAAGCCCTCCACAGACTTTCTCCCCCCACCCCCCAACCTCTGCGAGCTTCCAACCCCCTACCATCCTTCTCGCTCCCTCCATTCAGCAGGCTCTGGCCTGCTTCACATCTTGCCTCTCTGCCCCACCATCTGGAACACCATTCCAGTCCCTCACCTCACCCCCTCCTCTGCCTCCTTCAAGACCCGTCCCAAGATCCTCCTCTTCGACCAGGCCTTTGGTCATCCTCCTACCCCTTCCCTCCCCGCCCTCCAGATCGTAACTACCAGCTCGGGTGCGGATCCCTAACTGTCCAGCACCTTGGGACGTCCTGACGTGAAAGGCACCATACAAATGTTTCGCTCACAAAACATAGTCATTACACTTTACATGATGGAATCCTGTAGCTCAGTGTAGCAAGTGGGAGACCTGGGTTTGATTCCCTGGGGTGAAACCTGAGGCAAGTTTCTTTACCCAGCAGTGAGTAGGAACCCGGTTGTTCTCAAAGCCGGTCAGGAACCTCGGTGTTCTGTTCGACCCTGAGCTGTCCTTTCTCCCTGATATCTGCGCCACAACTGACACTGCCTTCCATCACCTCCGGAATATCGCCAGACTGTGGCACTATCTCACCCCTCACGCGGCTGAAACTCTGGTCCACGTCTTTATCACCTCAAGGCTGGACTATGGGAACTCTCTCCTCGCCGGCCTTTCCGGCCTTCCCTCCACACTGCAGGTCATTCAGAACTCTGCAGCTCGTGTACTGTCCCGCACCAGGCTTCGGGAACACATCACTCCCACCCTCGCTCGCCTCCACTGGCTCCCCATCCCCCAGAGGATTGATTTCAAGATCCTCATCCTCACCTACAAGGCCATTCATGGTGTTTCTCCCTCCTACCTCTCTGACCTAATATCCCCCTACCTACCCGCCCGTACCCTCCGTTCCTCTGGCTCCGGTCTGCTCCACATCCCCTGCCCCAACCGCCCTACCATCGGTGGCCGGGCCTTCAGCCTCTCAGCCCCGAGGCTCTGGAACTCCATCCCCAGTGCCTTCGCCACTTCCTCCCTTTCCTCCTTCAAGGCCGGTCTCAAGACCTTTCTCTTTGACCGAGCCTTCAGCTCCCCTCTCGCCTCACTACCCCCTCCTCGCTCTCTCCCTCCCCTCACCCTGACCATTTCCCCCCAATGCTCGGGTCCTGACCCAACTGTACAGTGCCTTGGGACGTCCTCCCGACGTGAAAGGCGCTCTATAAATGGAATCTTGTTGTTGTTAGTCAATTGGAGGATCGCATTTCTGGGGGTAATAATTCCTTAAAATAATTTGGTCAGTTCAATCCACGACTGTTTGTGGGACACTCACTGCTGTGTGCAATTGGCTGCCGCGTTTCGTCCACAAATATATGGTCAATTCGCTTTTCAGTATTATCTGTGAAGCGCTTTGAGACTCCTCGAGGATGTGATAAGGTGCTATATCAAATGCAAGGATTATTATTACAATTTGATAGTAGGTTGGAGAGGTAGGAGGGAGCATGGCAGTGTGTGTGGGGGGGCAGTGTGCGTGGGGGGGCAGTGTGCGTGGAGGGGGCAGTGTGTGTGGGGGGGCAGTGTGTGTGGGGGGGCAGTGTGTGTGGGGGGGCAGTGTGTGTGGAGGGGGGCAGTGTGTGTGGAGGGGGGCAGTGTGTGTGTGGGGGGGTGGGGAGTGTGTGTGGAGGGGGCAGTGTGTGTTGGGGGCAGTGTTTGTGGGGCCGGCAGTGTATGTGTATGGGGGGTGGGGGGGAGTGTGTGTGTGTGGGAGTGGGGAGTGTGTGTGTGGGGGGGCAGTGTGTGTGTGTGGGGGGCAGTGTGTGTGGGGGGGGCAGTGTGGGGGGGGTGGGGGAGTGTGTGTGTGGAGGGGTCAGTGTGTGTGTGTGTGGGGGGGAGTGTGTGTGGAGGGGTCAGTGTGTGTGTGTGGAGGGGTCAGTGTGTGTGTGAGGGGGGCAGTGTGTGTGGGGGGGGCAGTGTGTGTCGGGGGGGGGGGCAGTGTGGGGGGGGTGGGGGAGTGTGTGTGGAGGGGTCAGTGTGTGTGGGGGGGTGGGGGAGTGTGTGTGTGGGAGTGGGGAGTGTGTGTGGAGGGGGCAGTGTGTGTTTGGGGCAGTGTTTGTGGGGGCCGGCAGTGTGTTTGTATGGGGGGGGGGGGGATTGTGTGTGTGTGGGGAGTGTGTTTGGAGGGGGCAGTGTGTGTGTGGGGGGGGGTGGGGGAGTATGTGTGTATGGGGGGGGCAGTGTGTGTGTGGGAGTGGGGAGTGTGTGTGTGGGAGTGGGGAGTGTGTGTGTGGGGGGGGGAGTGTGTGTGGTGGGGAGTGTGTGTGTGTGGGGGGGGCAGTGTGGGGGGGGGTGGGGGAGTGTGTGTGGGGGGGAGTGTGTGTGTGGGGGGGGGGCAGTGTGTGTGGGGGGGCAGTGTGTGTGGGGGGGGGGCAGTGTGTGTGTGTGTGGGAGTGGGGAGTGTGTGTGGGGGGGGGAGTGTGTGTGTGTGGGAGTGGGGAGTGTGTGTGTGTGGGGGGGCAGTGTGTGTGTGGGAGTGGGGAGTGTGTGTGTGTGGGGGGGCAGTGTGTGTGTGGGAGTGGGGAGTGTGTGTGTGGGAGTGGGCAGTGTGTGTGGGGGGGGGGGGGGGGGGGAGTGTGTGGGGATCCATACCCAAGGTGCAGTGTGACCCGCGCCGCCCAATCAGATGTGTTGTGAGGCTGACGAGCGTTGTGATTGGTGCACACAGTGGTCTGCGCGCCTTTCAGTTTAAAATTAAAAATAACTGCCGAACGGTTAGTATAGCCGCCGCGAGCCCCAGACTCCCAGCAGCAGGACCGGAGCCACAGCCCCAACGCCACAGCCTCGGAGCTCCAGCAGCAGGACCGGGAGCCCCAAGGCCGGGAGAGACTCAGCCCGGCCGCCATAGCCAACCCCACGGAGCTCGGCCCCGCAGCCATGGCCGCCTGGAACTATGATGCGCCAACTCACATCGATTTCTGCAACCTCGATGACCAGGATGATCTCCATGTTGATTACTGGTTCGGTATGTGGGGGAGGGGGCTCTGGCCTGGGTATGCGGGGGTAGGGGGTGTAGTGTACTGGCCTGGGTGTGAGTGGGAGGGTGGCTTTGGTCTGGCTGTGTGTGGTGGGGGGAGGGGTTAGCTCTGGTTCTTGTTTGGGCCCCTCTGGTTTGGGTGGGGGTTTCTGACACTGTTTTTTGGCTGGGAAGGTGCTTGGGTAAAGTATTCAGGGCTTGATTCTAATTAAGACCAATGCAGGATCATTATATCAACAATTCATAAGAAAGCAATGGCCATTGCAACACAGTGCTTCTGAACCAATTTACCTCCCGAAGGCAAACATGCCTATATTTTCCAGCAATATTGTATCTGCGGTTATACAAACTACCTCATAATTAATATTGCACTTAAATACAGTGGGTTGGATCTGGCCTGGGAGGTGGGGGGCCTCTGGTTGGCAGTGTTTGAATGGGTAGGTGGTGATTGGGGTGAAGCTACTTGGAAGAGACAGACTTTTACCTCGGACGCTCTTTAAGTCAGACAAAATGGCCAACTCCCCTTGTTTGAAGAACTTTTCAGACACTTGCTGAAATCTTGTCTTATTTTAGATAAACAAGCTGAGAATGAGGTGGGAATAAATCAAGCAACCCCACCTGCTGAGAGCAAGAATTTGGTAGTTCAACTGCCTCATGTTCCCTGCAAAAGTTCTTTAGTCCAGGCAGCACAGAGCCCTAAAGGGCAACTCTTGCCTAAAGAGGGAGAAAGTGCAGGTAAGTAAACCATTCTGCCTCCACTTTCCTGGCTTAGCACCACTGCTTCAATCGAGCGTCTATCCTTTTACCTTTCTTCTACATCCCACTTGAAACCCATAATGGGCTCTTCCTTGATCTTACTTGGCAGAATATTCTAACAACTCTGTGTGAAAACCTTTTCCCTAAGCTCTCCTTTCTTTTCTGTGACTACATTCCAGTCATTGATTAGAGGGTATCGGCCTAAGACAGCTAGTAAATGGGAAGTTTGAAGAATTTTTTAATTCCATACCCTAGAGTTAGGATATGGAATGCCATGCTGGGAGGAGCTGTTGAGGCAGGATCCATATTCCCTTTTAAAAGGAAGTAAACTCTGGTTAGAGGCAGAAATTCCATGATTAGTTGGGCAGGTAGGGTGATGGACATGAGGTAGGCCAAGGCCCACTGAGTGGCTGAGCTGTCAAGATCAATATCGGGCAGATGCAGCGTCTCCATCTTTATGGATGAGAGATGTTAGCTCTGATGGTAATATTGATGATTGTACAACATTTGCACTTGTAGCATATTTCATTTTCACATAGAAAATGTTTTAAAATAGGAAGTAGGTGATTAACAACATGATGTAAGATTTTTTTTTAGGTTTTGAAAACCGAGTGGACAGGGGATTGAAGCAGGCTTAAGTTAGCAAAATGGAGGAGGTCCTTGTGGGGGACTGCAGAGGGAGGACAGGACAATTGTTTAAAAACTTTTGAAAGTAGGACAGTGATGTTGAAGCCAATCCATGAGGGAATAAGATGCCAGTGGAGCCTGGTGAGTCAGATGATGATGATTGCTTCACCTCCTGGCACCGCCTACCCTTCTCCCCTCAGCTGGCTCCGGCATCCTGCATGTCACTTTTCCCCTCCACTTCACCATTGGTGGTCGTGCTTTCAGCTACCAATCCAAAAACTCTCCTTGTTTCCTCTTTGACTGTGCTATGGTCGACTCCCCCTGTCCCCGGCTTGTCATGAAACTCCACCACTATTAAGTGCTCCCCACATGAATGGTGCTGTATAAATGCAAGTTGTTGTGTCAGATATGCGAATAAACACCTGATAGAACAGGAAGCTATTGAAATCTATTTGGCTCACTGACATTTCTTACAGAAGAGCAAATTGATGGAACTGTTGGAAGTGTACCAAGCAATGTGGTGACCTCTTTGTCAGTGTGGAGAACAACATCTGCTGCTCCTGCTAGAGGGACACCGGTGAGGAGGTAAATGTATATGGTTTTCAGAATAATCTGACCTTGCTGATCTTTTGAGGGATAGAAATGATAATCCTTGCATTTTGATCTTGTATCTTGTCATGGGTAAGACTAACCACATCCTGCTGGGCTCCTGCCAGCAGCTCTCTTCTGGCTCTGACCTGATCAACCTCTGGCTTCTCTTCCAAACTCACTGAACCAGCTGTGAGGAGATGCTGGATTTCCACGAAACCAAAATCGAGGGGATACATTCAGCCACCTTAGCCCTATCCACAGCCACCCCTCCCACATCACCTCTCCCTCATGACCCACCCCCACCCATCCCCCCCAATACTCCTTCAACCCTATCTCTCCCTCTCCGCGATTGTTCGCAAACTCAAACCCACCACCTGCTCCCTTAATCCCAGCCCCACCTCTCTCCTCATCTCCCAGCTCCGCCTTCTGGCCCCTCTCCTGTCCGACGTCATCAACCTCTCCTTGTCAACCGGTTCAGTTCCAACCCCCCTAAAAACAGCTGTCATCACCCCCACCCTGAAAAAATCTTCCCTGCACCCATCCCTACTCCAGCTACTGCCCAATCTCTAACCTCCCATTCCTCTCCAAGGTCCTGGAACGAGTCATTGCATCCCAGCTCCGCTCCTTTCTCTCTCGCCATTCCCTCTTTGAACCCCTCCAATCCAGCTTCTGCGCTGCCCACAGCACAGAAACAGCCCTGGGCAAAGTCACTAATGACATTCTGAACATCTGCGATCAGGGCTCCCTCTGCCTCCTTGTCCTCCTCGACCTCTGCCGCCTTCGACACTGTCGACCACTCCATCCTCATACCCCGCCTCTCCTCCTTATTTAATCTTCACGGACCTGCCCTTGCCTGGATCGAATCCTATCTCTCTCACCATCTCCACTTTGTTGCTTCTAACGGTTTCTTTTCCAGCCCCTGCACTGTTACGTCTGGTGTCCCCCAGGGCTCTGTCCTTGGCCCTCTCCTCTTTAATATCTACATGCTCCCCCTTGGTGACATCATCCGCAGACATGGGGTCAACTTCCATATGTATGCAGATGACACCCAATCTTTCTACCTCCACCCTCAATTCCAGGACCACTGCCTGTCCTGGATGAGGGTAAATTTCCTACAGTTGAATGTGAACAAGACTGAGGCCCTCAAGATTGGCTTGCACCAGCACCTCAGGTTCTGGAAACATCAACCTCCATGGTTGCACACTACAACTCACCAAGCCAGTCAGGAACCTAGGTGTCTTGTTCGACCCTCAACTGTCTTCCCCACAACCAAGCTATGACCCGCTCTGCCTTCCCTCACTTCCGTAACGTTGCCCAACTCCACTACTACCTCGGGACGCTGAAACTCTTGTTCATGCCTTCATCACCTCCAGGCTCGACTATACAAACGCCCTGCTTGTCAGTCTCCATAAATCCAGAACTCTGCAGCCTAAGCCTTCTCCCACACCAAACTCCGTGACCCCATCTCCCACATTCTTGCCTGACTCCATTGGTTCCCTATCCTTCAGAGGATCCAGTTCAAAATCCTGGTCCTCACCTACAAAGCCCTCAATGGTCTCGCCCCACCCTATCTCTGACCTCCTAAGCCCCTACCAACCTGCCCGCCTGCTCCACGTCCCCTGACCCACCCGCCCCACTATTGGCAGGAGAGTCTTCAGTCACTCTGCCCCTAACCTCTGGAACTTCATCCCCTAATCACTCCTCCTTGCCTCCTTCAAGTCCTGCCTCAAAACCATCCTCTTTGACCATGCCATCAGTCACCCCCCCACCTCCCCTCCCTGATCCCAGCTCGAGTCTGAAATGCTGTACACTGTTCAGCGCCTTGGGATGTCCTCCCGACGTGAAAGGGGCTATGCAAATATAATCTTGTTGTTGTTGAACCAGTGCATCAGTTTGATCCTCAGCTCTCCTTTTTCTCTCATCCAATTCCTGACCAGAACTGCTTTCCTTCACTCCAAAACTGGCAATATGCTTATTTACACATTTGTTTATTCCCCATCTCTCTCCACCCTCACCTCTCCCAGACTTGTTCCTTGCACTCCTCTGGGCTCCTTATCTTCACTGTTTATGAGCTCTCACCTTTCACTTAACAGCCACAGGTGAGCCGAGAGGGGTGGGGCAGGAAAGAAGATAGGGTATGGAAGTCCAGTTCTCGAGCCAGGGTCCACAGTACTACGAAGACACTGCTGGTAGCAGCCAAAGCCCTAACGGTTGGGTGGTCCATAGCTTAACAAGCAGTGGGGAAGCACACTCTGGGCTCCACAAGCCTTGTCTCTTGCCATTCTGGGCCTAATACTTTCAAGAGTTAGATAAGCAGGATGCATCCCTCTCGGAAGAATGTGCATTGGGGATTAAAAAAATCTGCTATGATCTAATAAACTGGTGCAGGTTGATTGGCTTGCTCCAGTTCGTAAATTCAGTAAGGCTATGAAATGCAGGGGCTAGTGCTTTCTAGGCGATTCCTCTCTTTCCCCACCCCACCCATAAATAGATCAAGGGCCAGCTGAGTATCATTGAACTGGTAGAATTTGAATGTTGTATATTCTGATCCGCCTGCTTCCCAATCCTCTAGATCGGCACGTAGACCACCTGGACAAGTGAAGAAGCAGTTGGCTGAACTTCGTGCTGATCGCAGGTTTCAGGATCCTGCTACCGGGGCTCCAGTCAGCAAGAAAGCAAAACTGTAAGTTGCAGTTTGAATTTACTTTTCCCTTTTCTAGTTTCTTCTTTGAATACTTTAAGAGGATGGGTCGGAAGCCGTTATGAGTGTTGTATGGTCTTCCTTTGGTGTGGAAGTGCCTGGCTCCTGATCGTTTCCTTTACTGTTGGAACAGTTCAGGTGAAGTCAAGAATTTGTACATTCTACCTTGGCTGTTTGCCTACAACAGGCATTAATTACTCTGGACTGTTATTCTATGCTTAATCTTCCCAGTTACTTGGTTAGTATTGGTGGTTACCAAGTTTTCAGGAGAAATGGAGGACGGGATAGCAGTATTTACAGTATTAGATCAAAGATGTACAACAGCAACTTGCATTTGTATAAGGACATTTATGTGGGATAATGTCCTTGAGAGTTTAATAGGGGAGGATGTCAAAATGGAATCCAGCTGGATAGAGTTGAGCAAGAACTGTTGGAAATGCTAAACTGAAAACATCAACAACAAGATTACATTTATAGAGCACCCTTCACGTCGGGAGACAAAAAAGACAAAAGAATATTTATAAATGAATTTGAGAAATATGCAGGAATAGGGGGCAGTGGCTTTCATTATACAACGATTGTGATAAGTGGCTAAAAAATGGAGCTTTTCCTCTACAGTGTATACTGCTTTGTCAGTATATTTTTGTCCCAGCAAGGCAGGAGGCAGTACTTGATGAACTCTAGGAAAGTGAAATGGGGCAGGTAGCAAACTGATCATGACATTAGGTTTGATTTCAATAATAATCCTTGCATTTCATATAGCACCTTTCATATTGGGTGGATATTTCAATGCCCTTCTCAGGATTTACTGTAAAGTGTAATTACTGTATTTTGTATAAATGGCCTTGCTTTAATGTCTTAGAGGAACAACAGTACCTCCAACAATTCAGTACAACCCCAATACTGCACTAGAGTGTCAGCCTATCAACTGCTTGAATCCGAAGTCCTGACGGCTTGAACCATTCTGTTTCAGAGCCAGCGAACAACTGACTCGGGCTGACTGATAGAGATGAGGAGAGGGGGCAAATATAATAATCCTTGCATTTGATACAGTGCCTTATCACGTCTTTGAGATCAAAGCGCTTCTCAGAATATACTATAAAGTAAATTGACTGTATGTTGTGGGCAAAAGCAACAGCCAATTCAATGGTATTGGACAGGAATACGAAAGGGAATCTGGCCTAGATAAATTGGGCAGACAAAAACATAATAATGGATACCTGTATCTGATATATTTCACCCACAAAATATACAGTCGCTTCACTGTACTGTGAAGCGCTTTGAGACATTTCAACAACGTAATAAGGTGCTATACCAAATTCAAATATTATTAATAAATGGAATGCCATGCGAGTGTGAATATCAGGGGTGAAATGCTTAATTTATAAGGGAGAGGAGGTGCTGTTCATTAGAATAGAGAAGAGTGAGATGTGATCGCCCAAAATAACTTTAGTGTATATAATAACACCTGGCCAACAAAACTGGTTGAATCGAATCTATAATGATTTTAAAAAGGGAATTGAACAAATATTTGTGAGAATGGGTGCATGGAAAAGCAGCCAAGTGGAGAGTTGATACGGTCACAATGATTTTTAGTTAAATTATTAATCGATAACCACCAAGAGAGGTTCAGCAAGAGTAGGGCTTATCTGACCAACCTCATTCTTGTTTTGAAGGGGTGACAGCCCATATTGACTGTTGGAAGTCATACAATATAGATCTACAAAGTCACATGTGAAAATGATCAGTGGGTATTGAGGGCAAGACATGGATTCAGAATTGGCTGAAGGGAACGAAGCAGAGGGTTAGGGGCGCTAATTCAAATTGGGGTGGTGTTAAGCAGCCGGGTGTCTCAGGCATCTATATTGGAACCCTTCTGATATCGCCTGGATTTTCAGATCCAGTACAAGATGTTTAAATGTGCAGGTAACAAGTTGTGGTGGGAAGTGCTGTGGAATCTTGAGGAGGCAGCAAAAGTCTTTCAAAGAAGAGCAAAGATAGCTCGGTAGTTTATGCAAATAGCTGATAAACTGGCAAATTAAGCTTCATACAGATGAAAGCAATGTACTACCAGCAGTTTGAAATTGAGAGCAACTTTCAGCAGAATTGTCTTAGTGCTACTGCAGTGGTCCTTATTCTGTGCCTGGCCTCTAAGGCCTTAAATATTAACTGTTTTTCATCATCAACAAAAACAAACTGCATTTGTGTAGTGCCTTTCACGTCAAGGTAAAGTGCCATGAAATCTGGGTTGTCTGATGTTTTGTTTCTAATGCTGTTCATGTGACTTGCTTTCTGTTGATGAGTCCTGTTTAGTGCATAGGGTTCCTAGAGCTTTCCTGCGAAGCTATGGATAACTTGGTTACAATGACCAGTCAGTAAGTATTCAATAATAATAATCCTTGCATTTTGATATAGCGCTTTTCACGTCAGGAGCACGTCCCAAAGAGCTTCACAGAACACACTGTAAAGTGAATTGACTGTATATTTGTGGGCGAACGCGGCAGCCAATTGCGCACAGCAATGTCCCACAGACAGTCGTAGATTGAAAATGACCAATTTATTATTGTTTTAGGTTTTGGAGGAATTATTATTAGGCTCTGTGTGGAGTAAGGAAACTTGCCCAAGGTTTCGCCCTCTGCCTGGAATTGAACTCTGGTCTCTCGCTTGCAAAGCGAGTACTCTAACCACTGAGCTACAGGACTCCTATTTAAATGTATCGTGTGTAAGCTATATCTAACGAATATCTGTTGCCTGCTGTCACATGATGTATCTTATCTTGAACTTAGGAATCCAAAGGCGAAGACTTCAGTGAGTAGAGTTGGCAGTCTTCGTCAGTCCCAGTCTTCAGCACAGACCAGACAAGCCATGCCAAGCACACCTACAGTTCTCAAGTAAGATTGTAAACACTGAGGTAATGACAAATGAGGCAGAAATCTCTTAAATTTCTTCCTGTGCTGCTTCCAGATTTTGATTCAATGGGAGTTCTCTTGACGACAGTAAGGAAGGTTTGGAAAGTTGGCCCCATCTGGAATTCTGGTGTCAAGTTCTGGAAAGGATGCACGTGATGGAGAGAGTGCAGTATAAGTTCGAGGTTAACTGGAAGCACGTAGCAATGCGGAGAAGCTAGAGAAATTAGGCCTCTTCTAATATAGCAGTGAAGATTGAAGATGCTGAGGAGTGACTGAGGTGTTTAAGATAATACAAGGGTTTGAGAGATGTATTTGTGAGAAACCTTGTGCTGGTTGGGGATTTGAGGGTGAGGGGGCATAAATTAATGGTAGTGACTTGGAGAAAGAGAAGGGGTTCAGGGGAACATCTCCCAGGGAGTTGTCAGAGTTGGAATGATTTGCCAGGAGCAGCTGCTGACATATCTGGGGTGATGAAAGTATTGGATAAGTACATACAAAGGAAGAGGGGAAAGAGCAGGGAAATAGGATTAGGCTGGATGGTTTCTAAGAGCAGCAACACTGCTGGAAAGATGAACAAAAACACTTCACAGATTATACTAAAGTAACAACTTTGTGCTGTGGGCAAAGGCAGCAGCAGAGTTGTACACAGTAAAGTCCTGTAAACAGCCAACATGGGCCAAGTGCTGTCCCACTACTACATTTCTGTGATACTATTGGAAGCATGGAAGAAATTTGCAGCCTTTCAATCCAGTCGTTGCCCTGAAATTGAATTGAGCAGGATGTTCTGTTGTTTTCCCTCATCTTTTCATTCTACAATTAAGTTTGAAATTATCTTAACTCTTCCCTTGCTGCTGTCTTTCATTGCACTCATTTTTGTATGAAGTCCTGACCCAACTGTCCAGCGCCTTAGGACGTCCTCCCGACGTGAAAGGCACTCTATAAATAAAATCTTGTTATAGATTTCATTCAGAATAAAATTTATTTCATTCCTTCTGTTTCCTTTCTAACCTATCTTAACAACTCCAACAGTATTGCCTCTGCAATTGGCATTGGACTTGCAGCCTGTTTCCCTCCACTATATGAATGTGAATTTGTTGTAAGAATGTTCTGCCCTCTGCTGACATTGTCACATCACTTTGGGAATGTGCTGTAATGGGAAGCATTTGACAGGACTGAAAGAGCAAAGGTATCTAAGATCAACCTCTTACCCCAGCTGTTGCTGTGCCTGAAATACATGAAACAAACCTGTAGATTGTGTGCAGGTCACATGTAACATATGAAAGCACAATCCAGTCACTGGGGCCAAGCAAGGTTCCTTCCCACTCAGCTCCCCTTAACGCTGCAACCCAAAGCCCTAACAGATAGGGTGGTTTTAGCTGGACAAGCAGTGGGAAGCTTGCCAGGCAGTGCTTTCAATGGCAAGCTATGTAGTTTCAGCTGGTTAGCCTCCAGCAGTTATCCCAACTCCAGGATCCCCAAGCCTTGGCTCTTGCCAACCTGCCCCTAATACTTCCTGGAATTAGCTCAGCACAATGGAAGAAAGTGTACATTCTATTCTGATAAATATCTCTGGAATTTCCGTGTGGGAAAGAGCTCGGTTTAGTTTGGATACTCTTAAGCAGGTGATGAGTTTCCACATGCGACAGACACCCAGCTGACCAAAAAAAAATTTAGAAATAAAGTTTGCAAGGTACTATTTCTTCTTTCATTAGTGAGCAATGCTGGAAATCGGAATTGCAAGTGTGTGTATAGATGGTTGAGAAAACCAGCTGGTAGGTGAGATTGTTTTTGAGTGGCATGTATTTTAAAATGGCCTTTCCTTTTTCTAGGAGGCAGCAGCATATGGGTGCAAAGGGCAAAAGCACAGAAGAGTTAGAGATGGAAAAGATTTCACAGTTTCAGAAGGAGTTTGCTGAGCAGAGGAAACTGAACGAGGAGACATTGAAGGCAGCCATTTGTGGTACAAGTATGTGCTTGGATTGTATTGTCTATCTGACATGGGAGTGAATGATGCTGACAGTAAAGTAGTACATTTTTACATCTTTTCACACATTGTGTTGATGACTGAGTTGTTTTGCATCTGAGCCTCTCGTCTCCCCCTGTACAGTAGTCTCTTAAATGTGTGTCTGTTGCTATTGAACTATCATTAACAGCAGAATGCTAGGGTTTTGCATTGCCAATGCTGGAATTTGATGGTGTTTTTATTGATGTAAGTGGACCAGCCATAGAGCTCTGGGTGCACTTAAGTACATAGTTAATTAATTTGTTTAAAACTTTTTTTCTCAGGTCAGCACAGTAAACTGATGCGCATTCCAGCCACAAAACCTATGGATATCCAGTTCCACACAGACAAGCGAATAAAAGCACATGGTGAAACTCAAGTGTATAAGGAAGTGAACTTCACCAATGAACTGCGCAAGCATCCCCAGTCTCCTGTGAGTGTTTAAGGAAAGTTAGATTTGTCCGAAGTTGACTCGTGCCTTTTACTTTACTGTCTTCCACAAACTACAGGATTAATAATTGAAAATCTAGAGAATTTGCTTCTCAACAACTAGTAGTATGATCCATCCAATCTCTTCTGTATTGAATAGGTGTGACACAATACAGATTTACCATTCTGGCATGGCAGCTGGGGGTAGGAGCCAAGTGGGGTGGGCAGGGGAAAGATGGTCAAAAGCAGGCTGAAAGAGGTAGGTCTTGAGATGGACCTTGAAAAAGGCAAGAAACCTTTAAAGTGTCTCAGCAAAAACATCTTATCATCAATATTTTCCTTTTAAATTATGATTGAAGCAAAGACATTGAGGGAATTGGTTTGAAGATACAAAGGGCATCAGTCCCAGTTGATTCTTATTGGCACCTCTGGGTAGGAATATCAATTCATTAAGAGTAAAACTACATGCTCTATGCATTCCCATTAGGGCGGTGTATTCTCCTTGAAATATTGTATTATCAGGCACAACAATGTAGTTCTTTTAAGTTTCTGGGTCTATTCAGATGATTAGCTTTTTAGTTCAAAAAAACTATATGAGCATAATTAACATTTAATAATATAATAATCCTTGCATTTTGATATAGTGCTTTTCACATCTTCCAATTGCACATAGCAGTGTTCCACAAACAGACGTGGATTGAGTGACCAAATTTTTATTTAATTTTTTTTCTTGGGGGATTGTTATCAGGCACGTGGAATAAGGAGACTTGCCCAAGATTTCGCCCTGCCGGGAATCAAACCCAGGTCTCTCGCTTGCGAGGCGAGTGCTCCGACCACTGAGCTACAGGACTCCAAAAATATTAATATACCAAAACATTTAATTTCCAAATATGCTCAATTTCTGTAGTAATGTTGACGGCTTACCATTCCAGATGCGTGCACTGAAGGGAAGTACTGTACCGAAGCCTTTCAACTTATCTTGTGGGAGTAAAAGAAAACACACAGACATGGAGAGCAAAGCATATGTCTCTGTTGCACAGCAGGTGGAAGAATTTCAACGTCGCACACCATCACGTTATCATTTGAGAAGCAAGCAACTTGTGGAAGAAGGTAAATGGGATTTCAACCAAACTCAGTGATGTTTGTATGATTGCCACCATATCTTCAGCTCTGTGGTTATAAAACTATGCTAGTCTGTCATTGCAGGATCCACCAGCTGAATGGAGGGGAGGGGGCGTGGGAGAGTCACGGGTGACATTGACAAGCTCGGCCCAACCTTATTGAATGTTCAAAGGTGACATGTCAGTAGAACCATTCATACTGCTGAATCACTGTTAATGTGACACTAATTGGCTCCTTGATGATGAAGGAATTGCTTTCCTCTAATCTGGAGGCTATAATCTAGCCTCTAGATTAGAGGAAAGCATTATAGCCTAACATTATAACCTAAAGCCTCTAATCCAGAGGCTTTAGGCTATAATGTACTCTATACAATTCAGATATCTTTCTAAAGACAGCTTGTTAGCATCCAGGACACTCTTGTACTGTCACTTGGATAGTCTCATCTCTCCTCTTCAGCCATGTCAGGAATTGAGCTTCTACTTGGTGCTGTCACTCCAGTGCAATGCTGGAGTCTGTATCGTAACAGTTATATTCCATGACACTATTGGAAAACAGCAGAGGGCTTTTCCCTGGATGCTGGCAACAATCCTCAACCATTTGTCATCCACCTTGTGGCTATTTATGGAACTTACTGGTGCAGGTGTCTGTTTGTCTACAAAAATAGCCATGACAAGACCATAAATTTGTGAGTGGGTTTCAACATTTCACTATAAAGTTTTATTTATTTTCCAACGTGCACCATTGAAGCCTTTTCTTCCCTTCCCCCCACCCTGCTGATTTTAGGTCCTCATAGGGTACCGATGAAGATGAAACTGACTAAACCTCTGACTCCTTTGCTAACCACCAAAGGCCGTGCTCGGGAGGCCACCTGTAAGAGCACAGCTGAAATTGAGGCTGACGAGGTGGAGAAAATACAGTCGTAAGTTTTGAGCCATCTCTTTGTCATCTCTTTAGCGCTGTTTAATTTCTACAAGCCTGTGGTGGAGGGAAGGAAGGTGTGCAAGCTCTTAGAAAAGATTGATGGAAAGGGGAAAACCTTCCTCAATCTTCATTTGTACTGAGGGTTGAAATTCTGAGTTAGTGATCTTTCTGACTTGTTATTTCTGTGAACTAATGCACTGGTTTATATCTATAACTATGTTCGTTGCTATATTCTAGAACATGCATAAAGGTTAGTTTGTCAATTTTCTTGCTTTTAAATGCCAACTGTTGGCGATGTGGTGCCATGAGCTCCACTGTCAGATGGTGATGTTTTGTAAAGGCTTTCAGAAATTGCTAATGTGCCCATAATTCTCAATCGGTTATTGATTTTCTGTACGGCTCCCAGTCTGTTTTGAACATCGTATTGTTCAATTGACACGTTTTAGCTAACTTAACCGATTATTTTTTTATTTATATATATATATATATATATATATGCATACACACTAGATAGCTAAAGTGAGATTCTCATACGTGGTTCACAACTTGTAGGATGGGTATGATTTGCCATGGCAGGAAGTGATAGTAATAATCCTTGCATTTGATATAGAGCTTCCATCATGTTGTTGAGATGTCTCGAAACATTTCACAGAATACATTGTAAAGTGGATTGACTGCATATTTTGTGGATGAAATGCGGCAGCCAATTGCGCAATGTCCTACAAATAGTCATGGATTGAGCGACTTTTTTGCAAGGCAAGTGCGCAGGACTCTAGGAATATTGAAATTTAACATAGTTATAGATGTACAATTTCCTGTATGCTCTCATGTCTATCTTTCCAATACAAAAGCGCTAAAGAAAGGTTAAAAATTACTTATTAATATACCAATTCTTTGGTTAGAAGTGAATGGTTTGGTTTCCAGGTTTGCTTCCTGAGGTTTCAATCACTTGAGTAACTTCTGTAGTTTTCTAAAGCACTGATTTTGGTCATTGCTGTTGCTTCAGTTACAGATTCAAAGCTCAAGAACTAAACCCCAGAATCCTGGAAGGTGGTCCCATTGTTCCAAAGAAGCCCCCAGTGAAAGAACCCACAGAGCCTATTGGCTTTCGCTTGGAGACCGACAATCGTATCAGGAAGCGGGAAGAAAATCGCAAGCCTGAGGATCAGGAACAGTACCTTTTCCATCCCCGTCCGTGCCCCATCCGGATACTGGAAGATGTTGTGGTGAGGATATTATGAGCTGAGATGCATTGCAGAATAGGAGCTATTGCTTCTATTATTCAAGAGACATGCATTTAGTTGTTTTTTTTACATCCTAAAAATTGACTAGATTTTCTTCCAGGGAGTTCCAGAAAAGAGGAAGCTACCATTGACAGTGCCTCATTCTCCAGTTTTTGCAGTGAAAAGCCGTGTAAGAATTCCACTTAAAGAGGAGCAGGTAGGGTGCTGTGACACGCTTTTGGAAAAATAATCCTGAGGTTGTGACTAGAGAATGACTGGGAAAGAGCCTATTTTTATGATTATAATCCATGCTGGTGCAGCAAACAGCTTTCACTTATTTAATTTGCTTCATGTACCATAACATCAAAGTGCTTCTTTCTATTAAACTTGTAGGAAGAAAAGCTAGTAAAGCAGATTAAGATAAACACTATGCCACACTGTGCCGTCCCATTCAAGCCAAAACCCCTGGAAGAGAAGAATGTAGAAATACAGCCATTCTCATTTGAGGCTCGGGACAAAGAGAGGCAAACACTGAAGGAAAAGAAACTGCAAGAAATCCGTAAAGAGATGGCTGAGGTAAGTGTGGTCAACTTTCTCACCAGTTTAGCCATCCTAGCAAAACTGTTTACTCTGTTTACCCAGCAGCAAGTAAGAACCCAGTTGTTAGTAGATTGGTGGATCACTTTTCTGGGGTTAATAATTCCTTCAAGAAAAATAATTTTTTAATGGTCGCTCAATGCACAACTGTTTGTGTGACTACTGTGCACAATTGGCTTCTGCGTTTTGCCCACAATTATACAGTCAATTCACTTTACAGTATATTCTGTAAAGCACTGAGAAGTCTTGAAAACGTGATAAATTGCTATATCAAATGCAAGGATTATTCTGTCAGTTTTAATTACCAATCACTTTTAACACACAAATTGCATAGCTAGATTCTGAGGGATTTATGTCTTATTAAATGAACAAAGTGCAATTAAACTCCCACTGATATCAGGTTTGGGTCTATAAATTCAGACCCACTACTATCATAACCAGTCTTTTGAAAATAGCTGCCATTGGCATCTTTTCTTTCATGTGTGCTCTGCCAGAGAGAAACCGCCTGTGATGCTTCTGCTTACTATGCAGGATGCAGGCAGTCAGAGGTGGAAGGTTGCTATGATATTGGTAACTATAAACGGTTATAGCATGTGGGGCATTATCGTATGTTCTGACTGTATTTCAATATTTTTAAATAATGGACTATAACCTGCAAGAAATGGCTGAAACTTCCTTCCATTACCTTGTGCAGGTCCCTACATTTAAAGCGCAGCCACTTCCTGACTTTGACTTGGCTCAGTTACCAGAGAAGGTGGTGAAGTCTCCAACTAAACTCCAGCCTTTCCATCTACGCATAGAAGAGAGAGGGGTTGTTCGAGCAGAACGCTGGACGCAGATGGTAAGCAAATGCTTGAGGAAGATTGGCTAAATATCTGCTGACCACTTGGTCTACACTCTTTATATGAGCTTTGTTCTGTTCATGTATGTTCTGTAGATGTTGCGTAATTTAAAAACTGCACCAGATTGTACAGCTTTCATCAGTGAAGAATCTGATAAACTATTTGTTTTTCTCCACAATGCTTCCAGATGTACAGTCAATTCACTTTACAGTATATTCCGTGAAGCACTTTGAGGTGTCTCAAAGATGTGAACTGGCACTATATCAAATGCAAGGCTTATTTATTTATTTATTGCCCAGATTATCATATGTAGATCATCGGATTCAACAATCTTGGTGCCTTTGAGAACGTTGATGTGTAAGATTTCTGTGGCCTATCTGTTCCAAGTGAATGGAGTGTGTCTGTTGCTACTGTCTGCCTCTGCTTCCCAGTTAATGAGTTAAGAATCATTCAGCATCTTGGCTCTGTATCTATTCGATTAATCTATCTGCTGTAATGCATGATGAGAAAACTAAGCGGAAGTTTAATGAGAATTTGGTTTCTTTGAATAGATGAAAGAAGAGCTCAGGCAACAAAAGGAAGCTGCATGTTTTAAAGCCAACCCCAGCTCTGCTATTTACCGGGAGCCATTCGTGCCAAAGAAAGCAGAGCGATCACTGACAGGTATTGTGTGCTTTAAAGTTTTGCCAAATGGTCTGTTATTATAAACCATAGTCAGGTAACTAATTTTCAGATTGTTGTTAAAATTCACAGTACTTCATCTTCAAAGTAATCCCAGTGCAAGTCCTCCCACTTGCCCCCTTCTGTAGATTTTGGGCTGGTGTGTGCCGGATGCAGTATTATAAATGAGGTGGGGTGTAATCATAGAAGCATCTTGTTGTCTGATGTGCCAGTGATCAATCTTCTCGTTAATAAAAGCTCTTATTGGCACAGGGCCTTTTGTGACAAAGAAAGGCAATTTGGTTACGCGTGTGGTGCTGATAACTGTTTGGATAGAAATTTGAAGAACAAAGGATTGTCTGGTGTAATAATATTCCAGCTCTTCAGTCTGCACAATATTTCCTTCTTGATTTTCACTTTCTGTCACAATTTGCTGAGTTATTTGAGCCTTTGTCTCCCAACTTAGAGAAGCTTTCTGCTTCTGTAGTTCAGGAAAGCTTTGAGCTGGCAACTGAGAAGCGAGCAAAAGAACGTATGGAATTTGAGAAGTACAAAGCTGATAAAGAGGTGATGCGAGAGCAGGCAGAACAGGAAAAGCAGAATCGAAAAGAGGAGCAAGAGAGAAAAGAAATTGCACAACTCCGTCATGACCAGGTAAGTTGTTGGACTTGAAGGGCAAAGAGGAGTGAGGGTGACCAAGCCAGGACCAATATTGTATACTCGAATAGACTTGTTTCACCATTGAGAATCAGCTTATGATATTGCAGCTTATGTCACCAATATCACAAACCCTGCCACAGATTTACTGTAGAGTTTTGCAGACAAACCTGATAGACAATTTGTGCACAGCAATGCCTCACAAACAGACATGAACTGAACGACCAATTTTATTTGGGGATTATTGACCAACTGGGAGAAACTTCTCTTTTTGAATCGTGCCATCATTACCATCCATCTAAAAACAGGCAAATTGGGACCTTGGTTTAACATCTCATCTGAAAGAGAATGTAGTGTGTTCCACCAATTCACTGGAGTGTCAGCATTTGAACATGATCTTGAAGTCTCTAGATTAGCAGTTGTAGCGCAGGAGGCTGCCTCTTCTCTTTCACATGTGCTCTGGTGAGATCAGATCATCTTCCCTCAGTGTATCAACTCGGCTCAGTGGTTGCTCTTGCCCCAAGTCAGAAGGTTGTGAGTTCAGGTCCCACTTTAGGATTTAGAATGACACATTGTAAGCTGATTCTCCAATATAGTACTGGGGTAGTACATTGTCAGAGGTGTCGTCCTTCTGATGAGATAGTAAACCCTGATCAGGTTTAAGATTCCAAGGCACTATTCAAAAAGGAGAAGGAAGCTTTTCTCTCTCACGGTGTCCTGACCAACAATTCCCATTATAAAATTGCTCACTCTCTTCATGGCTGTTTGTGGGACACTACTGTGTGCAACTGGCTAACCACAATGTTGATGGATGTGAAGGCCCCCCATTAAAAGTAATAGGTGTAACAATTCCCAGATCAGTAATTTATTGTGACAACTGCAAATCTCCATGGACCAACTTTTTGAGGCTGGAGGACAAACATTTGGGTTGAGTGCATCCCAGACTTCCCAATGGGAACGGTCTTCCACTCGGCTGGAGGAATAGATCACTAGTGAATGTTGTTTGATTTATCTTTAACAATCTTTGGTCTGGGAGATTGAGCGGCTGTGTGGATTTTGCTGCATAGCAGGTTTGTTTGGTATTAATGAGTGGAGTCCTGTAACTTAATGGTTAGAGCACTCGCCTAGCAAGCGAGAGGACCTGGGTTTAATTCTCGAGCAGTGGAAACGTTAGGCAAGTTTCCTTTCTCCATATGTCTCTGTTTACTTAGCAGTAAGTAGGAACCTGGTTGTTAGTTGATTGGTGGATTGCTTTTCTGTAAATAATAATCCCTTCAAAACATTATTTTAATAAATAATTTGGTTACTCAATCCACTGTTATTTGTAAAATACTACTGTGTGCAATTGGCTGCTGTGTTTTGCCCATAAAATACAGTCTTTTCACTTTATAGTATATTCTTTGAAGTGTTTTGAGACATCTCAGTGACATACAACGCTATATTGAATACAGGGCTTATTAATGAGAATTTTTTCTTTTTGCAATTTTCCCATTGCTGGGAATATTAAAGAATCGTAACACTACTGTCTCTGCAGATACACAAAGCAAACCCTGTCCGTCATTACAAGAAAGTCGAAATTCAGCCCAGCGAGCAACAGCTTACCGTTCCAACCACCCCAAACTTTTCCGATCGGTTTCGTCTGTAACGTGCCTGTTTGTCTTTCTGTTCTTATCTGGAAACTCAAGTATTTGAAACTGTCACAATTTCTTTGACAAGTACCATAAGCTCTACTTTAATCTGTTTTAATATTTGCTTGTATTTGTTTTGTAGAATACTCAATAAAATTTAGTATTGAATTATTACTGGTTTTCAGCATAAGCTCATCAGTAGGGCCAACAGAAAATTGTGAACATTTTTGGCAAAAATTGTGGAGAAATTTGACACATTTTGCAGGAAGTTAATTGTTGCTGTTGAGAAACACGTGTTACCTCTAACCTACATATTTCACCATTGAATTAAAAGCTAAACATGAAGAAATAGCACATTATAGATTGTCAGCAGAAAATGATTGATGCGGTCTGAAAACTGGGTGTCCAGTTGGGGGAAAAACATGAAGCGAAGGTCTGAGTGGTCCGTTTCCACCGGACACGACATTTGAAAGCTTTGGAGATCTTCTGGACGCACAGAAACCGACCCGGAGACACGCACTGTGTGTGTGTGACTGTGTGTGTGGGGCGCGGAGTGGGGGTGAGACGAGACCACACACGGAGCGGAGCCACTGCATCACTTTATTCTGTGACGCTGATTCCATCAGATGGGCTGAGAGGTGCGGTGTTGTCAGTCGGGGACCGGCGGCTCCGCAGGTGGTCTGACAGCACATCACTGGGGCATCACTGCGGCAACACCGAGACGGGTAATGAATATACTGACGCTGTGTGTGAGCGAACACAGGGGGGCGGGTACCGGGGGGGGCGGGTACCGGGGATGTGAAGCACTCGTGGCCACAGCCGTTGCTACAGCATTTACTGTCGGGGCCGCAGTCATTGTCGTCGATGCAGAATTCAGCGCAAATCCCCACCGCCTCCGCTTCGGGCACCGCCCATTCGACGCTGAAATTGAAAAACAGCCAATCACAGCCCCGCCCCCGGGCGGGGGGGCTCGGGGCAGTGGGCGGGGCTCGGGGCAGTGGGCGGGGCTCGGGGCAGTGGGCGGGGCTCGGGGCAGTGGGCGGGGCTCGGGGCAGTGGGTGGGCGAGATGGGCTGTGATGGCGGAACGATCCCCAAACGGCACGAGTTGGTGAAAGGCCCCAAGAAGGTGGAGCAGGTGAGACCCCGCGATTGGTCTCTGAGCCCCGGACTGTCCCTCTCACCGACCCCGGCGGGCGGGCGGGCGGGCGGTGCCGAGGCCGAGGCGGCCATTTCATGCGCAGTTTTGAGTTGATATAAAATCGCACAAACCGCGGCCTCGGCCCTAAACCCCGGCCCCGCCCGACCCTAAACCCCGGCCCTAAACCCCGGCCCCGCCCGACCCTAAACCCCGGCCCTAAACCCCGGCCCCGCCCGACCCTAAACCCCGGCCCTAAACCCCGGCCCTAAACCCCGGCCCGAGGCCGTGGCCCTCACTGACTCTGCGGCGCCGGGGCTGTGGGCGGGGTCGGAGCTGTGGGCGGGGCTCGGGGCTGTGGGCGGGGCTCGGGGCTATGGGCGGGGCTCGGGGCTGTGGGCGGGGCTGTGGGCGGGGCTCGGGGCTGTGGGCGGGGCTCGGGGCTATGGGCGGGGCTCGGGGCTGTGGGCGGGGCTGTGGGCGGGGCTCGGGGCTGTGGGCGGGGCTCGGAGCTGTGGGCGGAGCTCGGGGCTGTGGGCGGGGCTCGGGGCTGTGGGCGGGGCTCGGGGCTGTGGGCGGGGCTGTGGGCGGGGAGTGCTGTTCGGGTGATGGCTGTTGGGGTATAACTGTAATGTAAAGCACTGACTGGAGGGCTCATCCCGCGCGGACCCCCAGTTCGGGCTTTGGCCTCAGAGGGGTAACAGGAGCCGAGTCCGGAATGTAGTAGTAATCTTTGTGTTTTCTTTTAATTTACAATTAGTTGTAGCAATTTAATAAAATCTTTTCTGCTTTGTTTAAATCACCGATTGGGCATTCGTTTGCTCCAAGAAATTGTTTACAATAATAATCCTTTGCATTTGGAATAGTTCCTTATCAGGTCAAGAGAATGTCCCATTGCGCTCCATAGGATGTACTGTAAAGTGTAGTGACTGTGGGTGATGGCCAAACTTGGCAGCTAATGTGTGCAGAGCAATATCCCAGAAAGAGCCATGAAGTGAGTGAACCATTTTATTTGGGGGATTCTTGGCCGAGACACTGGGAGAGACTTCTCTTTTTCGAAAAGTGCAGTGGGAGTGCCCACCGGAGCAGCGACAGTGCCGCGATTTAACATCTCATCTGAAGGACAACACCTCCCGACACTGCATTGGGAGCGTCAGCCTCGCCGGCCTACGTGACTCCGAGGCGAGACTGTTACCAACTGACATTACAATAGAAGTGCTTAAATTATTCACTTTTTTAATTCACTTTTCCTGGAAGTGAATTTTCTGTCAATTATTGCTTGAATAGTGGAAGAGTTTTGGGGTCTCTTGAGTACATGATGCGGGCACTTAAGTTAGAAAATGGTTGACCTGGTACTAGGACATGCTGTAACATAAATAGTCACAAATAAGTGGTTACTGTCAGAAACTGTCAGGTACTGCTCAGTCAGTAGCACTCTCACCCCTAAGACAGCAGGTTATGGATTCAAGCCCAACGATGGAATATAGTCTAAGATGACACTCCTGTGCAGTGCTGGGGGGGTGCCCTGGGTGTTAACCGAGGTCCTGACTGCTTGTTTACGTGTACGTTAAAGATCCTGTGGCATTACTGTATTTAAAAGGAGAAGGGAGTTTCTCCTTGTGTTCTGGCCAACAATCACAGAAATAACATCAGTTTTTCACTCCATGGCTGTTTGTGGGACATTGCTGTGCAGTCGGCTGCCGCATTCACCCACAAAATGCACAGTTGCTGCATTTTACAATATATATCTGGTGAAGGCTTTGTGATATCCTGCCATGAAAAGTGCTCTATCAATGCAGGGATTGTTATTACTGCGAGATGCTATCCTGTGATAATGCTGCTATGTAAATGTAAGTTGTTGACATTTGCCACTTGTCAGCATTGGCCTGTTCCTTTCTTCCTGTTCGCCATTATGATAACAGCTAATTTAGGTATCCCTAGAATGAGGCTTCTATCTTAGAAATGCTGTCTGTCTGTTCCTCTACTTTGTGAAGGTGAGGTAGGCTTTTTGAGCTATTATCCTTTTTTGGAAGATGCTAAGAAAATCTTGAATCCATCTTGACCTGCTCGAAGATTTGATGGTTCTCCAGTTTTCTCTCCTTCCCTATAGCCTATTTTCTAGGCATTAGGTCACCACAAGTTATAAAGTATGGACACAACCATGAATTCACTATTCTATGCCATAGTGTTGGGCCNTTTTTTCGGTGAGTGTGGGGATAATTTTAACAAGCTTCGCTTGAAGATCATGTTTTTGGAAAAAAACAGCCCAGCCTCCGATTAGGCCAGCCTCGGATTAGCCTGCTACATTATAAAGCAAATTAGAATTTCACCGCTCTGATATGCTGGGCATCTCATGAATGAGGAATAACGGTAAAATCTGGCTAATATTTTTGTGAAGTTAAGCTACTTAAGATTGGAGAACGAGTGTGGTCCTCCAATCTACTGTTCAAGCGGACTCAGAGAATCAAGAAATTTGGGAATTTAAAATAAAAACATAAAATGCTGGAAATCTGATTAATAATAATCCTTGCTTTTGATATAGCGCTTTTCACGTCTTCTAGACATCTCAAAGTGCTTCACAGAATATACTGTAAAGTGAATTGACTGTATATAATTGTGGGCGAACTGCAGCAGCCAATTGTGCACAGAAGCGTTTCACAAACAGTCGTGGATTGAAATAACCAATTTATTATTTTCTTTTCTTGATGGATTATTATCAGGTGTGTGGAGTAAGGAAACATGCCCAGGTCTCTTGCTTGCAAAGCAAGGGCTCTAACCACCGAGCTACAGGACTCCATTAAGGGTCACATTTGAAATTTATGTACACTTACATCTTTCGTGTGCTGAACAATTCTGCGCGTACCCAGCATTTTTGGTCTTCCTATTATTTTTAAAATCTTTTCTGAAAGTTTAGATTCATATTGGTGGAGTAAACATTACTGGACCATTTTAGTGGAGAATAACAATATATTTACCTAGAGAATGTGGGTATCTGTACAGCAGGTAGTTCAGTATTTAGAATATGGAGTATGAAACCAAATAGGTTTATGTAACGCTAAAGTGATGAAAGGTCGGATAGTTTGCAAGGTCTTTTCAGGCGGTTTTGTTATCTACAGTACATTATTCATAAGCAGTATGACAAGTGGACATTTTATTTGCTTTTTGAATTGTGTTGTAGATTATTTTGCAAACAAATATTCTCATACTTCTGTGCTTCATCTTTCTTCAGGTTGATAAAAATGCTGAGCTAGTTGCCCGTTGGAAATATTGTGCGCTCAGTCAAGTAGCACTGACGAGACCTATAGTGTCTTGTGAGCTGGGAAGGTAAGTCATTGTGAGAATGAATATATCCACTCTGTTCATTGTCAATCAGATGAACACAAACTGTAAAACTAAAGAACCCTTGCCACACGGTATCTATCCTCCTGTTGTGCAATTTTCAAAGCTTCAGAATTGCTGGAGCCTGTGTGTTTTATTATCCCAACCTTTCTTAGTTTCCACTTTGTGTCTCATACTAACTTTGACTTAACATTACATTGATGATATGCTACCTGATTAAAGCATTGTTTATTTTAGATTGTACAATAAAGATGCCGTCATTGAATACTTGTTGGATAAGTCTCCAGAAAAATGTATTGTGCAGACTGCAACGCACATCAAGAGCCTTAAGGTCAGTTTATTATGTGAGCAATTAATATATAATGAGCAATTAAAAGTAAACCCCCGGTCCAGGTATCCCTTCACACCCTGGCACTTACCTACTTCTCCAACCTGCTTACTCCCCAACTCACTACCCGTAGCCTCCACTCAACTAGCCTTTATATGCAGCTCCAACTGAGACCAGCAAACTCGCCACAGATAGGCATCGAACTCCTGGTCAGCATTCAAGAATTTACCCAAAATACTTATCTTTTAGGTACAACCCTCAGCAGGCTGCTCCAATTTCCCCGCCCAGCCCACTCCACCATCAGCAGTCTGGTTTTCAACCTCTTTGCCCCCACCCTTTGGAACTGCATCCCACAGTCTCTTCGACTCGCTTCCTCCCTTGCCTCCTTCAAGGCATGTCTCAAGAAGCCCTTCTTCAACCGTGCTTTCGGCCACACTCCTACCCCCACTCACCAGCCCTCCTGATCCCAACTCGTCCTCGGGTTCAAATACCTGACTGTCCAGCGCCTTGGGATGTCACCCTGACGTGAAACACAATGTGTAAGTGTCATTTGCTGTTTTTCTCTTCAGTCTTTGAGAATTTCCAGCAATGTTTATTTTAAGTTGGGGGTTTCTTCTTACCCTTGTAATTGCTGTTCTCTCTAGGATGTGAAAGAGCTGAATCTGACCCCCAATCCAGCATGGAAAGGTGATGAAGTGAAGGGTGACAAGTATGAAGATCTGCAGCTTGCTTGCTTTATCTGCCCTGTGGTTGGGTTGGAAATGAATGGGCGACACAAGTGAGTTCCCGAGTTCTGCTGTCGTGATATTAGCTTTGTGAAGACTAATGTGCAGATGTAGATGCATTAGAACCAACAGAGGTTGTAAGTTGCATGAATAAATGGGAAATGGAATTATTAGTTATTAAATCTAGTTGACTATCAACCTACGTTGATGCACATTCCACGGAGCCAGTATAGAACCTCTGTGTCTTATTTGGCTCTCAACTGTCTTTAAAACCCCTTGACCCATTCATCTTTCCCCCACCTCCGTAATATTGCTCACCTCCGTCACTATCCTTGGGCCGCCAAGATGCTTATCCATGTTTTTATCACATGCGGCTTGACTACACCAACTTCTTGCTCGACAAACTTCCCAACTCTTCCCTCCACAAGCTGCAGACCATCCAGAATTCTGCAGCTCGTGACCTCCGGCACCACAAGCCCATCTTAATGTAATGCATCTCTTTTTATGTTCCATCTAAATTCCTTTCAGATTTTGTTACCCGCGTACCTGTGGCTGTGTCTTTTCTGACCGTGCTTTGAAAGAGATAAAGGCTGAAGTTTGCTACAAGGTAGGGAAGAATTCATTTTGTCTCCTGTCGATTCAGTGTACAGAATAAACAGTGTATTTTTGATAGAGAAAATGTTAATTGCACTGATTAAAGTCGAAGTGACAAAGCACTTCTCCTCCACCTTCATCTCCGACATCTCCACGCTTCTAGCTTCGCTTTGCTTCTGCTCTGACCGCCTCATCATCCTACGCGACTTCAACCTCCACTTCACCCCCTCTTGCTCCACCTCCTCACACTTCTCCTCTCTCAACCTCTCCCTCTCTGCTACCCAAGTTCACAGCCACCCGCTCAACCTGGTGATCCCCCGGGGCCTCAGCATCTCGGAGGTCACCATCACCGACAAAGCCTCTCTGACTACCATTTCATCTCCCTCAACTCCTATGTCCCTCTCCCCACAGCCTCCAAACCTACCACCATCTTCTACTGCCTGTGGAAGAAGATCTCCCCGCAATCCCTTTCCGCTGGCCTGGAGTCCTCTAAACTCCTCCCCCTCTGGCCCACCTCCCACACCAACTCATCCTCTGCGTTTACTCTCCTCCACAGCACCCTCTCCACCACACTTGACGCCCTTGCCTCACCCCCCGAACTGCCTCCTATTCCCGATCCTCACCCAGGTTCACCAGCCACCTCCGCTCGCTCAAGGGCTAGACGCGGGCTGCCGAATGCTCTTGACTGAAATCCGGCCTGACGGTCCACCGGCGCATCTAGCTGGACCTTGTCAAAACCGACTGCTCCGCTCTCGCCTAGGCCAAATCGTCCTTCTACTCCAGGTTAATCCTGGAGGCGAAGGGGAAACTCCGGTTCTCCACCACCAACCGGCTTCTCCGCTCTCCCTGCCACGCTTCCCAGATATTTTCCTCCGACTCCCACTGCGAGGAAATGCTGGACTTACTCGAGTCCAAAATCGAGGGAATCCGCTCAGCTGCCACTGCACCCCCAACTGTCACCTCCTCCCTAGCCCCCTCCACTCTGACCACTATCCATCCCTCTTCCACATTTTTGAACTTGTCACCCCCTCCTCTATCATCACCACCATATCCTCCATGAAGCTCACCACCTGCTCCCTGGTCCTCATCCCCACCCTCTCCTTAAATCCCAGCTCCACCTCCTTGCCCCACTACTCACTGACATCATCAACCTCTCCTTGTCATCTGGCACTGTTCCTAAACCCCTCAAAACAGCCACTATCACCCCCACCTTGAAGAAACGTTCCCTTGACCCATCACAGCTATCCAGCTACCGGCCCATCTCCAACCTCCCTTTTCTGTCCAAAGTCCTTGAGAAGCTGTTGCCACTCAGCTTCGCTCTTTCCTCTCCTCCCACTCCCTCCATGAGCACTTCCAATCGAGTTTCCGTGCTGCCCACAGCACGGAAACCGCTCTGGTCAAGGTCACAAACAACATCCTGACTATGTGTGACCAGGAGTCCCTCTGCCTCCTCGACCTCTCTGCCGCCCTTGATACTGTGGACCTTCAATCCTCCTCCACCGCCTGTCCTCACACCTCAACCTTCAAGGTTCTGTCCTTGACTGGTTCAGATCCTACCTTTCACACTGCCTCCACTTCGTCTCAGCAAACAGCTTCTCCTCCAGCACCGCACCATCTTGTGCGACGTTCCTCAGCGCTCTGTCCTCAGTCCCCTCCTCTTCATCCTGTACATGTTCCCCCTTGCTGACATCATCCGCAGACATGGGATAAATTTCCACATGTATGCGGATGACACCCAACTCTATCTCTCTGCCTCCACCCTCAACTCCAGGACTACTAGTGTCCTGACCGACTGCCTGTCCGACATCAAGTCCTGGACAAGGGATAACTTTCTCCAACTGAACATCAGCAAGACCGAGGCCCTCCTGATTGGCTCGCGCCAGCATCTCCTCACCTCGGGTGTTGGCAGCATCAGCATCCACGGCTGCACACTCAACTACACTAAATGAGTCAGGAACCTAGGTGTCTTCTTTGACCCTGAACTGTCCTTTCTCCCCCACATCCGCGCCATGACCGGCACAGACTACCAACACCTCCGCAATATTGCCAGACTCCGCCACTGCCTCACCCGTCAAGCTGCTGAAACCCTCACCCACGCATTCGTCACATCAAGACTCGATTATGGAAACTCCCTCCTCATTGACCTTCCCAACTCTTCCCTTCACAAGCTGCAGATCATCCCAGACTCTGCAGCTTGTGTTCTCTTGTGCACCAGGCTCCGTGACCCCATCACTCCCACCCTCGCCCGACTCCACTGGCTCCCCATCCCTCAGAGGATTGAATTCAAGATCCTCGTCCTCACTTTCAAGGCCATCCATGGCCTTGCCCCCTCTTACCTCTCTGACCTGCTGACTCCCTACCAACCTGCCCGCTCCCTCCGTTCAGCGGGCTCTGGCCTGCTCCATGTCTCCCTCCCGACCCGCTGTACCATTGGCGGCTGGGCTTTCAGCCTCTCTGCCCCCACACTCTGGAACTCCATTCCAAAGTCCCTTTTTCTTGCTTTCTCCTTTGCCTCCTTCAAGGCCAGTCTCAAGACCTTCCTCTTCGATCGTGCCTTTAGTCCCACTCCCACCTTTCTGCCTTCCCTCAGTCCCTACCCCACCCCTTCCCCATGCTTGGGTCCTGACCCCTGTCTGTCCAGCGCCTATGGACGTCCTCCTGACGTGAAAGGCACTCTATAAATGTAACTGTTGTTGGTGGTTGTTGTTGTTGTTTAGGTCAGAGGGATCCAACCTTTGAGGTGTCGAAGGCCGGATTCCCTATTCGAGAAATGTCCGCAGGCTGCATAAACAATACGGTGCTCCAAAAAGTGGGGGCACGATGGCAATGGTGGGGGGACGTTAAGCAAAGCAGTATTTGCTGGGCTCGGTGTTGGTCCTCGCTTCCCCTCGCGGCAGAAGAGGGAGAGTCTGATCGTCTGTCCTGACTGAACCATCAAATGCTGCCCTCACTTCTCTCTCTCAATCACGCTCTCTCTGTGCTCTCTCTCTTTCATGCACTATCTTGCACACATTCTCACCCTCTCTCTCGCAATTACTCCCTCTCTCTCTCCCCCCCACTCTTAATCACTCTCTCCACATCTCACACTCTCTTCCACTCTCAATTACTCTTTCTTACTCCCCCTCTCCCATACACTCTCCTCTCTCACACTCTCTCAGTCCCTCTCTCTGGTCTCCGAATGTTTCTCTGCTCTCTAATCATATTCCCAAACTGGCTCAACCAATCATCTTTCACACACAGGAGACCGAGTTATCAATGTTTTAATCTCAAGAATTTGGGAATTTTTAGAGGCCCCTGACACCAGTGTGAAAAGTTCACTTGAAACAAACAATTTCTTTTCTTCAGAGCCTCTTTATCTACCAAGATTGGAGACACTGAGGCACCAAATCCAGGGCATTCATCAGACTTGTTTACACATCTTGAACACGCAGTTCATTTGCCCAATACCATTGTATTGATAAGGTCTTAGGAATGTTCAAAACTAAGAAGCTACAACGGACCACTTAGACACCATTTTACAATCTTAACTAATTCTTGTTATAACTTTTTGTTACAACTGTCTGTATCAGTCAGTAGTTCCCAAAACATATCTTTACCTGATATTTCCCAAGTGCTCTCAATCTCTCCCTTTCTCTGTCCTTTATCCCTGCTTTTGTTTCCTGGCTAACCACATACATTAACTACTGTCTTATAATACCTCTCCTTTGCTTCCCTCTTGCTACATTAATTCCTATTTTTACACGACATCACACCTGTAACACTGGGACTTTCAACAGTTTCAAAGAGGCATAAATTTAAGGAGGAAAATGTTTTGAGACTGCAGTGGATAGGTTGTGCAGAATACTTTGTGTTCAGTAACGTATGTGTTGCTGTTATGGCATTCGTCACATGGCATGCAACAATTTAAGACTTATACAGTGCCTCTTATATTGAGCCTACACAGAGGTGGGGCAGCTAAAGAAGTTGGTGAGGGCAAGTGCCCAAAAGGGCAAGTCAAAAAGAAAGAAATTAATGCAGGCTTTAAAGGTGGGGAGGGTGAGGGACTCCAGGAGCGAGATTCACAAAGCAGTGGGAGAATAACTGAAAGACAGCTATTGGCCTCCTGTGCTGTAATTGACAATGGTTCTCTGATGGTGGGTTCACAGGCAGGGAAGATAAAACACGCGATTGTTTGCTGTGTGAGGGAGCCGGGTTGGTAGGGTTACAGGATGCTACAGGGTGGGAGCTCGTGCTTTGCACTTATCATATTGAACACTAGGCCGCTCAGTGGGACCTGATGCCCCCATATTATGGCTATGCAGGGTCGAGAGGGCATGTTAAAGGTATTCAGGGGGCATTACTCCCAAATTGTTCATTCTTATCAGTATCGGGATTGTGGTGGACACCATAGATGTACCTAAAGCGATGTACCACACAAAGAGACTGTTGGCTCAGCTGGTCCATTGATGGTGTATGCCTATCTCAACTATTCACTTCTTCTACACTCCACCATTCCCAACTTTTGCTTGGACACTGTCCTGTGGGATCACACTTAGAAAGGGCTGGTCATTTTCTCTTATCAAAGACAGAAGGCATTTGAGATCATACTACAGGTATATATGTGCACTATTATGCCTATGCACAGTTAATGAGGGGATGTTAATAATAATAATAATGATAATCCTTGCATTTGATATAGCGCCTTATCACATCTTCGAGACATCTCAAAGCGTTTCACAGAATATACAGTAAAGTGATTTAATTGTATATTTTGTGAGTGAAATACGACAGCTAATTGCACACATCAGTGTACCAGAAACAGTTGTTGATTGAGTGACCGATTTATTATTTTTGAAGGAGTTATTAACCCCCGAAAAGCGATCCGCTACTCGACTACAACCAGGTTCCAACTTACTGCTCGGTAAACAGAAGCGTGGAGCAAGGAAACCTACCAAACATTTTGCCCTGCCGGGGGAATCGAACCTGGGTCTCTCGCTTGTGAGCGCTCTAACCGCTGAGCTACAGAACTCCATTCATTGGAAAATACTGTATACAGGTATACATACCTGTCTTTGACAAGCATTCTGAAAGCAAAAGCAGGAAGGAAGAAATTGCGTCCTGGCCAACAATCCCCCAAATAAAATTGGTCACTCACTTCTTGGTTGTATGTGGGATATTGCTGCGGTCAAATTGGCTGCTGTGTTTGCTCCCAATAATCAGTCATTACGTTTTATAATAAACTCTGTGACGCACTTTGAGATGTTCTGACATCATAATGTGATATATCAAATGCATAGATTATTGTTATTAGAACTTAAGTTGGATAAACAATGGTCATATTTATTAGCTTTCTCTGCAGAATATGAAGATCTTAGAGTGAATTGTTGAAAATGTCTGTTTATTAGTCCACATGATGTGGAATTTTCTGGATTAGTCCATCTTAATTTAGTAAATTTTAATTATTTTCTCTTCTTTGTCTGCAGTGCGGAGAACCCTTCGAAAAAGATGATGTGATTTTCCTGAATGGGAGTAAAGAAGAAATGGAAATTCTTAAGAGAAGAATGGAGGAACGGAAATTGAAAGCCAAGCTGGAGAGGGTAAGTGCGCAGTAAAATTCACACAAGGTGTATAATTTGGGACCCAAACATTTAGTATGACTTAACTGAAGTCTGAGTTGCAGGCAAACTGTATAAGTAGTATAAAAGCTGATTTAATCAATAATCTATTCTGTGCATGAGTAATTCAATGTAGCCGCTAAGTGTAGAAGGAATAGAGGGTAGGGGCACGGAGTTCCAAGTTAGGAGGTGATTAATACAACCAAGTGGTTTTGATAAGAAACTGAATGGGATTCTGGTGAGTGAATGTACGCTTTGGTCGTTCACACGATTTATAAAGATCAGACTTGTGTGAGTTTTACTGTGTTTGTGAACAGATATATATATATTGTCCCTTCACCTTGAACTTGGGCAAAAGGTTAAGATTCAAGGAGTATAAAACAACTGAATCCTAATAATAATAATATGCACAAGACCAAAAACGATTGTTCCAAATCCGTACGGTGATGGCGAGCCAGTGGAGCCTGGGCCATAACTGGTGAGATATGGGGACGGAGTTTGGTCGGGGTCAGTATGCGGTCGGCAGAGTTTTGCACGAGCTGATCTTGTGAATGGTGGAGCTGGGAGACCGGCGAGAAGTGCGTTGGAGTAATCCAGGCGGGAGGTGACAAACGCATGCACGAGGGTTTCTGCTGCATTTGGGGTAAGGTACGGTCGGAGACGGGTAATGTGGCGGAGGTGGAGGAAGGCGGACCTGGTCAGGGACTAGATGTGGGCAAGGAAGGACAGCTGGGGTTCGAACCGGACGCATGGATTGCGCACGGTTCGATGAGTCTGAGGGAGAGTCCAGGGAGGTTGAGGAGTTTAGATCTGCAGGAATAAAGACTTTGACGGGGGCCGAAGAGTATGGCTTCCGTCTTGCCCACATTCAGCTGCAGGAAGTTTGCACTTATCCAGGCCCTGATGTTTGCCAGACAAGCTGATAGAACATCAGCGGATCTGGAGTCGATACTGGAGGAGGAAAAGTAGATTTGTGTGCCCTCCGCATACATGTGGAAGTTTACCCCGTGTCTGTAGATGATATCGCCCAGAGGGAGCATATAGATTAGGAAAAGAAGGGGGCTAAGAATGGAGCCCTGGTGTATCCCGCAAGTGACCGGGTGGGGGAGGGAGGAGAAACCATTTGCCGAAATGAAGTGGAGGCGGTTGGTTAAGTAGGATTCAAGCCGTGCGAGCACGGTACACTAAGGTGGATGAGGGAGGAGAGGATGGTGTTGTCAACTGGGTCAAATGTGGCAGAGAGATCCAGTAGGACGAGGAGGCAGAGGAACCCTGGTCACAGATAGAGAGGATGGGAAGTCGTTTGTAACTTTGATAGGCACTGTCTCTGTGCTATGGGCAGTCAGGACAAAAATCAGACTGGAGGGGCTCGAGGAGGAAGTGGAGGGAGAGGTGTGATTGAAGTTCACCTGCAACAATGTGTTCCAGTGTTTTATATGGTTGATTGTAGTTGAGAGGGAGGAGGGAGAAATGGGGGCAAAGGAGTGGCAGGAGCCGTGGCGGAGGGAGAAGGCAGAGTGGATGGTCTGGTTGAGGTGGAAGGGGACATTGTTGGGGTGGGAGGAGGATGCAGCCATACGGATGTTTTCAATTTTTGAAACCTAAGACCTGTCAGAATACCGTATATAGTTTAGGACACAAGATGTCAAGTGACTGCCAGGATGGTGGAAGGCGACATAGATGGATCTTGTTTTTTTTTTGCCTAGCAAATTCTTATTTTCTTATTTCTCGCCCCAGGTTGCAGATTGTGGCTGCATATTATTCATATATTCATTATTTTCTTGTTTTGCAGAAAGCAAAGAAGTCAAAGACCATATCTAAACCTGCTGCTACTGAAGGTAATTTGTTCAATGAATTGTTAGCCACAAAAAAAATCAGTTAAGCAAGAGGCTTAAATCTAATAAATCATTCTGTAAAAGACAGATTTCTGTCAAAGTTGCTAATTAGAAGCTGGTGCTTAACGTAAACTGTGTCCTGCAAAGAGGAGACATAAAAACATAAGTACATAAAAAATTGACCTCATGGCTGCTGGTTGGATATTAGACATTGATTAGTATCGGGTGGTTTGCTGTTGTATCAAAATCAAGGATTCTTGTATTCCTATTTTCTTCCCACATGAATCCTGCTCGGTGCTTGCTCCCTCATACCCACCCACCTCCTCTCCTGATCTCCCAGCTCTATTGCCTTGCCGTCTGCTAACAGATGTTATCAATCTCTCCATGTCTACTTGTGCAGTTCCCACTTTATTTGAATCTGCTGTCACCCCCTCTTCTCAAAAATCCCTCCCTTAGTTACCATCCCACCTCTAACCTGCCAACAACATTCTCTCCTCATTCTGATCTGTAACCAGGGCTCTCTGTACCTTCTTGTTCTCCTTGATCTCTCTCCAGGCTTCAATGTTGTCAACCACTATCCTTTTTCACCACCTCACTTCTCAGCTCCACCTTCACAGTTCAGTCCTCTCCTGGTTTCCCGCTTACCCATCCCAACTTTGCCTACCCTTTCACAGTTACTTCAGGGCTCTGTCCTCAGTCCTCTTTAACATCTACATGCTCCCGCTCGGTGATGTCTTCTACAAACATGGGGTTAACTTCCATATATATGCAGATGACACCCAAATATGCGGTGAATGCATGGATGAAGGTTTCAGCAGCCTGATGGGAGAGATGTTAGAGGAACCGGGCAATGTTGTGGAGATGGGGAAGGCAGAGCGGGTCACGGCATGGATGAGGGGTAGAAAGGACAATTTGACAAGGGTCAAACAAGATGGCAGGGTTCCGGACTGGTTCAGGAGTGTGCATCCCTGGATGCTGCCAATGCCTGAGGTGTGGAGGCACTATCTCGTCCCCTCCCACCTGTGCCATCTCAACTCATACCGATCCGGCTGCTCTCCAAACAAAGCTTCCTCTGCCCCCTGCACCATCGGGCTTTCAGCCTCTCTGCCACCATTCTGAATGTTAAAAATCCAACAAAACGAATTGTAAACAGAACAGAGTTTCTTCCAGTGTCCTGGACATTGACAAATTGATCATTCACTTCATAATGTTTTGTAGGATATTGTGTGCAAATTGGCTGCCCGTTTTTCTCCAAATACACTGTTACTACACTTGGTAGCAATTTCCTGTGAAATACTTTGCGACATAGTCACTGGATCAGATGCAAAGAGGATTGTAGTATTAGGAATCAAAGCCCTCAACCCTGTTGTCTTGATCTTTTGCAAGTTTAAATATTTTTGTTACTTTGTGCATAGAAATTCCAGGGCCATCAAGCACGAAGTCTGAAGAAACAATCACCAGTGAGCAGCGAGCAGTTTCTGGCAGTAACCATTCCGGTGAGTTGTCATTGTTGCTGCGTGTGGAGAGCCCAGCCGTAAAGCGACTGGTAATTTCTCCAATGCTCTGCTATTCACAGCCATGTCCTCACCCCTACCCAAAATCCATCCCCCCCCCGTCCTCAGCTTCTCTGGTTCCCTGACACAGAACAGATTGATTTCAAGATCCTCACATTCTCTGCCCTGGCACCTGCCAACCTCTCTCTGCCACCTGTCTCACACCCCATTCCTCTACCTTCACTCAGCCAGGGCGGCTTTGACCAATCCAGTCCATGTCATCAGTTACGCCATGAGCCTCTGGAACTTACCTCAGCCCCTCCACCTCACCCCTTGTTTGTCTGTCTGCAGATCACAGCTGAAGACCTTCCTCTTTGACTGTGCTTAGGGTAATCTCCCCTCCCACTCTGGCTCAGAGGCAAACTACACCACAGTTAAGAGCTCTGAGGTGCTACTTTGCATGTGTAAACTCACAGGCCGATAGTTACCAATCTTTTCGTGCCCTCTCGCTTTTGATAATGGAGTGACATTTGCGATTTTCAATCCCCGTGCATTTCTGACAATACAGCATACCCTCAGCATTGCATTTGAAGGGTCAGCCTAGACAAGATCAGTTCAAGTCCTGATGTGGTGCCTGAACCCACAACCTTCTGACTCAGTAGAGAATGCAGTAAACTGAGGCAGCTGAGACCTGGAGCTGGGCTCTTGCCTGTTCCTCCCGGCCTTCTCTTTGCTTCTCAGCTAATTCTATGTTGGTTATAAATTACAACACTCTGCATTCTTCTACCTTAACTCAGCCAAGCCTTGGCATCTCTCATTGTGCAGCTAGTGATCTTCATTTACTCTCTTACAGTAAACGGCCGATCGGTGTCCTCGGGCTCCGGGACTCCCAGCACATTCGGTTCCAGCAATGGCAAACGTTCGCGAGCCGACCACGGGCAGAAATCAGAGGCCTACAAATCCATTTTCACCTCCCACAGCTCAGCGAAACGCTCAAAGGACCAGGAGCCAAACTGGATCACCCACACTGCATACTACTTCTGAAACAGCCAGAATCAGATACCATCACCATCTACTTTAGTTAGTAAACCCAGGAGATTAAATTTCTTTCCTCTATGTGGACTTTTTCTCTAGGATCTCTTCCTAATTCTGCTGAGACTCCAGTGGCACTTGTGTGATTTTAATCCTGGTGGTAATGAAAGTGAAAATGTTTAATTGGTGATGGGATCAGACTGAAGTGGTGAGACTTACCTCAGGTCCAGAGCTCACACTAATTATTGCTCAAACGCGCTTCCAATTGTCTACTGGTGGCTTTACTCTCATGAAAACTCTTCATTTGGCTTAATAAATCTCTCAAAAGGATTCTTCATTGTCATCTTCTATAGCAACACATTTAACAGCAGCTCACACACATGAGGAAACGATCAGCAAGTGCACCAGCGAGGCCCAGAGCACAATCATTCTGTCAGGAAAGCAGTGGTCCTGGGGTTGAGGCAGAAAGATAGAGTTGGTTGTTACACACACGCAGAGCAGAGCCCCACTCCCACACACTTTCCTGTAACTTAGGGTGCAGTTATTTGTGTTTTTTAGCAGCTGATTCACGCCACATCCTACGAATAGCTTCTCAGTGAATAATCCACTCTGCACAGTGATGGCAGGCGGTGCTGCACTTTATTTTGTTCCACCAAGCGCTCTGGGGCTCTGCCCTGCGTGAGGGGTGCTATATAAATGCAGGTTATTGTCACTCATTACATTTCAAAGTTTATTATTGTTTTCTAGGTTGTAGCTCCTGCAGCTGAGCCCGGCTCGTCTATGCTGTGTGAAACATCGATTATATTGAGATGTGGGATACGAACCGACTGTCTGCTTCTGTCCAGACCAGTTTAAACAAAATAAAACTCATTGATTTGGAGTCCGAACATGTTTGTGTGGGGGTCTGTGTGTGGGACTTGCGTCTTGGGGGGAGGCTATGTTTGGAGGCTTGTCATACGCATGGAACATGCAACGGTGTGGGGTAGAAAGGATAGTTGCGGGTTAAACAAGACACCAAGGTTCTGGACCGGCTCAGTGAGGTGGAGTGTGCATCCCTGAATGGTGATGCTATCAGTGCCTGAGGTGTGGAGGTGCTGACCTGAGCCAAACAGCACCCCCACCCCTCCCATATACACAGCCACACACACAACCCACGGTACAGCATCTTGTTAGTGACCAACAGCTGTGACAAAGGTTGGGGTTTGAATCATAATAATAATCCTGGCATTTGACCCAGAGCCTGATCACGTCATTGAGACATCTCAAAGCATTTCAGAGGATATGCTGTAAAGTGTAGTGACTTTGTGTTTTGCGGGCAAAACAAAACATCAGCAAGAAAACTGAATCTGTAAATCTCTGAACCAGCAGCTGATTCGCTAAATGAATCAATAGAAAATCGTGTGATTATTGTAAACCAATCAATATAAAATTGTGTGATTATTGTAAACTAATCAATGTGAAGTCTGAACCAGTCAATAGCAAAGAAACCCATGTGCTGATACTGACTGGTTACAGCTGTGAAGAGTAGATCAACTGGACCTTGTAAGGAATGGATTCCCTTATTGGCCACGACAGAACTGACCGTTGGGTATTTAGCCCAGAGGCTGAGCGCAGTAACAGTCCAACCGCCGGAGGAAGGAGTCACCTCATCAGCTCAGAGAAAGCAGATGAGTTGCTGGAGGCTTGTGGTTCAGAGCAGTGAAATGGTCAGTTTGCTTGTAGTGGATTTGCTCGGGCCAGTCTCTATGGACTATATAAGGTAAGTCTGTATTTGTGAGAACCTTCAGGTGGACTGTAAACTGCCTGTAATGTTGATTCTCCTTAAAAAGTGAAGGGAAAGTGTCCAAACCTTGGGTGTTGTCTCCTGTGAGCTTTAGAGACATTATCACTGTCCACCTGCCCTTGATGTAAATTGTGAGTTAACTGTTGGCCAGTTTGGCTTTTCCTTTTATTGTATAATGTGTCTCAAAAACAATTGCTATTATTTTGTTCCTATCTTGAGTCTGTAGACAACTCCCACCAGAGTCTTGCCTCATTTGCTGTTCCTTAATTCTACCCATAGTGTTTCCACAGACTGATCACCTTTACTAAAGTCCTTTCTATCTACTGCTGTACTTGAGTGTTATCCATATTGCTCTTCCTGCTTTCCCAATTTTCCTGTCCTTTCTAAAGATCTTACAGCCTGGAATATTTAGCTCCCAGTAATGTCCAGTTTGTAGCCAGGTCTCTGTAATGGCTACTACATCAGACCCTTTAAGCTGAATTTGTGTTTCTAACTTGTTTTATTTTTTATGCTATGTATTTGTGGACAGACACTTAAGATAACTGTCCTCATTTGCCCATATGGCCCAATGGTGTTTTTCTCTTGCCTTTTTTTTGTTTTTCCTAAAAATATTTCTCTTTCTGGAGAAATTGAGTTATTTATCACATTTTGTTTTCCAATCTTTGCTCTTCTGTCTTTAGTTTACTATTTCCACTTGAGTCAGAGATTATTAGTCGACATCCTCTCGACGTGAAAGTCACTCTATAAATGTAATTTTGTTGTTGTTGTCCTGGAACCAGTGCAGGTTTGTGTTGATCTTGAACGCTGGGCTAATGTTCGTTCATATCACATGATAGCTGGAGACCTTGTCCCCATCCATCTGTTTGATATAGATTGTGACCATTCTTGATCAGTCTGGACCAGGGTTCTCTCTATCACACTCTCTCTCCATTACAATCATTCTCCTCTTTTCTGTCACACTTTCTCTCTTACAAACTTTTTCCCTCTGTCACTCTTTATCAGAATCTTTCTCCTCTCTATTACACTTTCTATTGCAATCTTTCTCCTCTCTATCACACTCTCTCTATTCCAATCTTTCTAACACACTTTATCACATTCTTTCTCTTCTCTATTGTAATCTTTCTCCTCTCTATCATATTTTGTCTCTCTATCACACTTTCGCTCTAACAATCTTTCTCCTCTCTTTCACAGTTTGTCTTTTTCTATTACAATCTTTTCCTTCTTTCTAACACACTTTCTCTCTCTATCAGAATTTATCTCCATCTCTCTATCAAACGTTCTCTCTATTGCAATCTTTATCATCTCTATCGAATGTTGTCTCTCTCTTAAAATCGTTATCCTTCTTTCTAATATACATTCTCTCCATTAGAATCTTTCTGCTTCTCTCTATCACACTTGCTCTCTCTATTACAACCTTTTCCGTCTCTGTCACACATTCTCTCTATCAGAATTTTTCTCCTCTCTATCACACTTTTTCTGTTACAATCTTTCTTTCGCAATCTTTCTCCTCTCTATCGCAATCTTTCTTTGTATCATACTTTCTCTCTATCGCAATCTTTCTCCTCTCTATCACACTTTCAATCTCTTGCAATCTCTATCACACTTTCTCTCTATTGCAATCTTTCCGCTCTCACACTTTCTATCTATCGCAATCTCTATCACAATCTTTCTCCTCTCTATCACACTTTCTGTCTATCACAATCTTTCTTCTCTCTGTCACACTTTGTCTCTATTGCAATCTTTCTCCTCTCTATCACACTTTCTCTCTTGTGCAATCTTTCTCCTTCTCTCCATCATACTTTGTCTCTCTCTATTACAAACGTTGCCCTCTCTCACTCCTATCAGAATCTTTCGCCTTCTCTTTATTACAACCTTTTCCGTCTCTGTCGCACTTTCTGTTTATCACAATATTTCTCCTTCTCGCCATCGCAATGTTTCTCCTTCTTTCTAACACACTTTCTCTCTATCACACTTGCTCTCTATTACAAGCTCTTCCCTCTATCACACTTTCTATCAGAATCGTTCTGCTTTTCACTCTCTCTATCGCAAACTTCCTCCTATCAAACTTTCTCTCTCTTGTAATCTTTCTCCTTCTCGCTATCATACTTTGTCTCTCTATCACACTTTCTCTCTAACACAATCTTTCTCCTTCTCTCTTTCACAGTTTGTCTTTTTCTATTACAATCTTTTTCCTTCTTTCTAACACACGTTCTCTCTCTATCAGAATTTCTCTCCATCTCTCTATCAAACTTTCTCTCTATTGCAATCTTTATCCTCTCTATCATACATTGTCTCTCTATTAAAATCTTTATCCTTCTTTCTAATACACTTTCTCTCTCCATTAGAATCTTTCTCCTCTCTATCACACTTTCTCTCTCTATTAAATCTTTGCCCTCTCTATCACTCTCTCTATCAGAATCTTTCCCCATTGTATTGCAACCTTTTCCGTCTATCACACTTTCTATCGCAATCTTTCTCCTTCTTTCTAACACACTTTCTCTCCCTCGCACACTTTCTCACTCTATCGTACTTTGCCTCTGTATATTACAATCTTTCTCCTCTTTATCACACTTTCTCTCTATCGCAATCTTTCTCACTATTGCAATCTTTCTCCTTCTCTGTATCACACTTTCTCTCTCTCTATTCCAATCTTTCTAATACACTTTCTATCACACTCTTTCTCCTCTATTGCAATCTTTCTCCTCTCTATCACTTTCTCTCTATCACATTCTTCACACTTTCCCTCTCTATTCCAAACCTTCTCTTCTCTGTCACACTTTCTCTATATTTTAATATCTCTTCTCTCTATCACTCTTTCTATCAGAATCATTCTCCTCTCTATTACAGCCTTTTCCGTCTCTGTTACACTTTCTCTCTATCAGTATCTTTCTCTCTATCGCAATCTTTCTTCCCTCTTTCACACTTTCTCTCTATCACACTTTCTCTATCACATTCTCTCTTTCGCACTTCCCTCTATTCCAAACTTTCTCTTCTCTATCGCACTTTCTCTCTATTTTAATCTCTCTCCTCTCTATCACTCTTTCTATCAGAATCTTTCTCCCCCCTTTAAGAAAATTTTGCGACTGTCACACTTTCTCTCTATTACAAACTTTTCCCTCTCTATCTCTTTCTATCAGAGTCTTTCTCCTCTCTGTTACACTTAGTCTCAATTTTTCTCCTTCTCTCAATCAGTTTCTCTCTATCGCAATCTTTATTTTTTTCACTATTGCAATCTTTCTCCTTCTCCATCATACCCTCCATCTATTGCAATCTTTCTCCTTCTCCCTATCACACTCTCTCTCTATTCAATCTTTCTCCTTCTCTATCACTCTCTCTATTGCAATCTTTCTCCTCTCTATCACACTTTCTCTCTCTCTATTCCAATCTTTCTAACACACTTTCTCTATCGTATTCTTTCTCCTCTCTTTCACACTTTCCCTCTCCATTCCAGACTTTCTCTTCTCTATCACACTTTCTCTCTATTTTAATCTCTTTCCTCTCGATCATTCTTTCTATCAGAATCTTTCTCCTCTCTATTACAACCTT